TCAATCAGCTTCCTTTTATTGTCTTCATGGGTGTTGCCTTATCAATCACTGCCTTCCCTGTGCTTGCTCGTATCCTAGCTGAGCTAAAGCTTCTAACAACCGACATTGGACGTATTGCAATGTCTGCAGCGGGAGTAAACGATGTTGCAGCTTGGATACTCCTTGCGCTTGCTATTGCTCTCTCAGGAGATGGGACTTCTCCTCTTGTATCTGTTTGGGTTCTTCTCTGTGGATCTGGATTCGTGATCTTTGCAGTTGTGGCAATCAAACCTCTGCTTGCTTATATGGCTAGACGCTGTCCTGAGGGAGAGCCTGTGAAGGAACTCTATGTTTGTGTCACTCTAACCGTGGTTTTAGCAGCTAGCTTTGTGACAGACACTATTGGGATACACGCGCTGTTCGGGGCATTTGTGGTAGGTATAGTAGCTCCTAAAGAAGGACCATTTTGCAGGATTTTGACTGAGAAGATAGAGGATCTTGTCTCGGGGCTTCTTCTACCTCTGTATTTTGCGGCTAGCGGTCTAAAAACTGATGTAACAACGATCAGGGGAGCACAGTCATGGGGACTTCTAGTTCTTGTCATACTCACCACTTGTTTCGGGAAGATTGTAGGAACCGTTGGTGCCTCGATGCTCTGCAAGGTTCCTTTCAGAGAAGCCATGACACTTGGATTCCTTATGAACACCAAAGGTTTAGTAGAGCTCATTGTTCTTAACATTGGCAAGGACCGGAAGGTATAGATTCTTGAAAGCCATAATAAGAGTAATAAAAATATTTAAAAGCCGAGTGATCTAATTAACGATTTTTGTGAGCAGGTGCTGAATGATCAAGCGTTTGCGATCTTAGTCCTAATGGCATTGTTCACAACCTTCATCACAACTCCAATTGTGATGCTTATTTACAAGCCTGCAAGAAAAGGAGCACCGTACAAGCACAGAACCATCCAAAGAAAAGATCATGATTCTGAGCTAAGGATACTTGCGTGCTTCCACAGTACCCGCAACATCCCCACATTGATCAATCTGATCGAATCATCAAGAGGAACAGGCAAAAAGGGACGCCTCTGCGTTTACGCGATGCATCTAATGGAGCTTTCTGAACGGTCATCAGCGATCGCGATGGTTCACAAAGCTCGGAACAATGGTCTCCCAATCTGGAATAAGATCGAGAGATCAACGGACCAGATGGTGATTGCGTTCGAGGCGTACCAGCATCTACGAGCAGTAGCGGTTAGACCCATGACTGCAATATCTGGTCTCAGCAGCATCCACGAGGACATATGCACAAGCGCGCATCAGAAACGAGTAGCGATGATATTGCTTCCGTTTCACAAGCATCAGAGAATGGACGGAGCGATGGAGTCAATCGGACATGGGTTCCATGAAGTGAACCAACGCGTCTTACAACGAGCTCCTTGCTCAGTCGGGATTCTTGTGGACAGAGGACTCGGAGGAACCTCACAGGTTGTAGCCAGCGAAGTGGCTTACAAAGTCGTGGTTCCATTCTTTGGAGGCCTCGATGATCGAGAAGCTCTCGCGTACGGGATGAAAATGGTGGAGCATCCGGGAATCACACTAACTGTTCACAAATTCGTAGCTGCGAGAGGAACATTGAAGAGATTCGAGAAGAGTGAACATGACGAAAAGGAGAAAACAGAGAAAGAGACTGACGAAGAGTTTGTGAGGGAGTTGATGAATGATCCAAGAGGAAATGAGTCATTGGCTTACGAGGAAAGAGTCGTTGAGAGCAAAGAAGATATCATCGCGACACTTAAATCGATGAGTAAATGCAATCTCTTTGTCGTGGGAAGAAATGCAGCTGTTGCATCGTTGGTTAACAGTACGGATTGTCCAGAGTTAGGACCAGTTGGACGTTTGTTGTCGTCATCGGAGTTTTCCACCACCGCATCGGTCCTCGTCGTTCAGGGATACGATCCAGCGGCCGATACACGACCGCTCGTAGAGGAAGATGAAAGTTACGAACAGGCTTCCAGAGATATTTCTGACTCAACCGTCTGATCCGATATAATCAGTTTATTACAGAGCCAAAGGAGTCTTTCTTTCTTATTTTTGTCTCGCAATATTTTGGTTTCTTTTTGGTCCGGGACCTGGAGCGTCTCCGTTGTTCGTTTGTATTTCCCCTAAAATAATGGTTGTTACCATTGGATTATGGGCATAAAAATCGAGCTGAATTTCTTAATATTCTGCCTTGAATGATCAAAGGAATAATTTAAAACCAAAGCATTGGTAATTAAAGCCGTTGCCATAAGTCCATAACTCTTCCTACTTAATGTCATGTCTAGCTTCCTCCTCCCACTTGATATCTGCGAAAGACTTACAAGTGCGATTGCGAGATATTGATGGAGCTCTACTCCACATGGGAAAATATGTGCACCTCTAAAGTCCGTGATGGGGCGGGCTTCCGGGCTATGCACGAGCTCTCCACTGAACTCTTTTGGCTAAACAACTTATGACACCTTATCTTAACATTTACACCATAAAAAAAAAAAAATTATGGCACCTTCCCCAGTTTCCAGATTCTCTATCGGCGAGAGTTCTCCAGGGTAGATACTACGAATATACCACTCCGTTGAAGAAAACATTGGAAGATTCCCCATCCTATGGATGAAGAAGCATCATTGCATGGCAACATATCCACTACGGTGTTAATAGTAGAGTTGGACAGATCCATGAATCCCAATGGTTCCGCCTAAACTAGCACGAGCACATGGCCCCACGGTACATCACTTGATGACCTAATATTAAAGGAGACCTTAGATTGGAAGGCGCACACTCTAGACGAATCTATAGCTCCGGAGGGCATACCCTATGTCAGGAGTTTAGCCGTTAGCCAAACTTTCCACATGAATGAGTTTTGTTGTCACACACAAAATCTGGACTCTACACAGTCGAATTGGGAGATTGGGTTGCGAGGAGTATCCTTAATCCGACTGAGGATGCACGAAACCAAGTATCCCTGCACTCTAAACTAAGAGCAACAACAATGGCAGACCTTAAAGGGCTCTAAGCCTAGTTTCTTAAACAGCGAAAGTGTGAATATTCTAAAGTTCATTCACCTCTTGCAGCAAAGCTTCCTACTCCTCTTCCTTCTCCTTGCGCTCTTTCCGCTCATACAACATCTCATTCCCCCATTTCCTAGATTGTGCTTCAACCTAATACAAACACAAAGAGTCCTGTTATATACTGTGAAAGTTTGGCAGAGACAGTGTGAATGGATCAAACAGTGAAACACAAGAAACAGTGAAACACAAACAATGTAAACTTCAAACTAGGTAAAAGAGTCAACCATAACTAGCCTGCAAACAGTGAAACACAAGAAACAATTCAGATGACAAATATCTTTCTGATGAAAAATGTTTTGACAGCTCAAATATATCTCAAACTACTACAAAAGGACGATATAGCATGCTAGCAACCAAATAATGTCTGAACGAACAGTATTTATGATTAAATATCTATCTCAGACGAACTGCTCTCTGCAGTGGACTTCAAGCATCTGTCTTTAGAAACAGGCTTCTTGGATCGAGCAACTTCCTGATGTAAGCATATGAAAATTATGTATTAGCAAAAACAAACGTGTCTATGATAAATTCCTACCTCAGACGAACTGCTTTCTGAGGTGGACTGTGTAATTAGAAGAGAAAAACAACTCTCTGGATGTAGTCGATCTCTGCCCGGTTAGCCATTGTTTCTTGAATTTATTGCAGATATCGTACAATTTTTGATCTTCAAAAGTTAGATCTTCAAAAGTTAGATTTTGATAGATCTTCAAAAGTTAGATTTTGAAGATTCCATCGCTTTTGCAACAAAGAAGTTACAAGAACAGAAAACCTAAATCATATTAAAAAATCATAGATGTTATATTATATAAAAAAGAAAAAAAAATCATAGACAATTCCGAAATTATTGAAATCAAATCTAACAACAATACAAATTTACAGATTATGCCAAAAAAAGTTCATAGAAAATTGAAAACCTAAATCATAGAGAAATCTAAAGAACATAGAACAAAAAACCTAGATCATATAAGAAAATCATAGACAATTCCAAAATTATTGAAATCAAACCTAACAATAATTCAGAATTACAAATTATGCATGGGTGGTGTTTCAAGCCACGTTAAGGATATAACTAACTCAAATCTTCCACCTTATACTCTAACCAACTCTGTTTATAAGTATTTTATTCCCAACAAAATAAAAGAAAAGAAAAAACTTAATTTATAATACTCCTTGAATGTAGCTTAAACTAACAATTAATGAATTAATCAGTAATCTTAACAGAGGAAACGAAAAACTCCCTATTTCTTTCGTTTTGTATCTCTCACGGAATATTTTGTTTTTTTTTTCCCTCCAAAATGATGATTGCCATTAGAATACGGTTTTTAAACTGAACCGAACTTTCAAAACCAAAATCAAACCGACTTAATCATAGCTGTACTATAATCTAGTTGAACCAAATTAGAATCGATCCATACTTAAAAAAAAAAATCAAATATATTTAACCAAAATTCGAAACTAGTACTAGTATTAACTAAATTGAATCAAATAAACCAAAACTTATTAAAATTTATATATTTTAATTTCCAGTTTATATTTCTTAAGTAACTAAATTATCTATACCTCTGACTAATTTCTCTATAAAACCAAATCAAATCAAAATTTTGTCAAACCAAATCAAACTTGTAGTTCAGGATAATAGACATGTCAAAACCAAGAAAGTAAAAAAAAAACAGAAAATGTCAAATCTTAAATTACCTCCTGAAGAGATATGAATGCAAAAAGGGACCACAACCGCCAATGACACCGACAAGAGTCAAAAGAGACGTCACTAATAAATAAACTAACACATTTTCGAACAAGAATCCATAACGTTAACATTCACTCACTGTCTATCACACACACATGCTGTGTACTTCATTATTACTCTCGCTCACGCTCTCTCTTCTCTTCTCTTCTTTAAAAATCTCTCACAAACTTCATTGAAAAAGTGAAAAAAACAACTCTCATAAACAAAAACATGAGCTACACTTTCTTTCTCCTTTTGCTCACACTCGTCCACTCCACTTTCTCTTCATTAGCTCCTACGGATCGAGCCGCGCTCCAATCCATCAGAGACTCTTTAACCGACATGCCTGGTTCAGCCTTCTTCTCCTCTTGGGACTTCACAGTCCCTGACCCTTGTTCCTCCTTCTCTGGCCTTACCTGCTCTTCTCTCGGCCGTGTCACCGGCTTAACTCTTGGCCCTAATCTCTCAGGTTCTCTCTCCCCTTCCATCTCCATTCTAACACACTTAAACCTACTCATTCTCTACCCCGGCTCAGTCACCGGTCCTCTCCCTCCTCGGTTCGATTCCCTTCCTCTCCTTCGAGTCATTTCCTTAACAAGAAACCGCTTAACCGGTCCTATACCAGTTTCTTTCTCATCTCTCTCAAATCTCCACACTCTTGACCTTAGCTATAACCAACTCTCAGGCTCTCTCCCTCCGTTTCTCACTACTCTTCCTCGACTCAAAGTCCTTGTTTTAGCCTCGAACCATTTCTCCAACAACCTTAAACCTGTCTCTAGCCCATTGTTCCATTTAGACCTAAAGATGAACCAAATCTCCGGCCAACTCCCACTCGCTTTCCCCATCACTCTCCGGTACTTATCTCTCTCCGGTAACTCAATGCAGGGCACAATCAATGCCTTAGAGCCATTAACAGAGCTAATATACATCGATCTCAGCATGAACCAATTCACCGGCGCAATCCCTAACTCACTCTTTAGTCCCACAATCTCAACAATGTTCCTACAACGAAACAACTTCACATCCATTGCCACCTCAACCGCCACGTCATTATTACCTCAGGGCTCCATTGTTGATCTGAGCCATAACTCGATCTCCGGAGAGTTACCTCCTGCGCTCGTCGGAGCAGAGGCTCTGTTCTTGAACAATAACCGTCTCACAGGAGACATTCCAGAGGAATACGTCAAGAGCTTAATCAACGGTACAACAAAACAGCTCTTCTTGCAACATAACTACTTCACGAGATTCCCTTGGAACTCTGGTCTCCAACTACCAGACTCTGTTTCGCTCTGTTTGTCATATAACTGTATGGAGACAGATCCAGTCGTTGGTTTGTCCACGTGTCCGATCGAAGTTGCACCTCTGCTCTCAAGACCTGCTTCACAATGTTCAAGATTCTATAATCACAGCTCCACTGGTTAAAGATCAGTTTTCGTTTGTTTTTTTTCTCAAAGAAATTTGCAAAAAATGACAAGTTTTTTATAAGCGTTATCGACAAAACAAAACTATGACATTTTTAGAAATTGAACCGTTGTGTCTCCTAGTGTTTTCTTAAAAAAATCAAAAGTTCAAAAAAGATCTGTAAGAGTGTGGTCCTCACATGTAAATTAGATTGTAGTGTTTATGGAATATATAATTTATAGATTGGTCCTTTTCTCTATTTTTTTTTCAATTCATTATTAAGAAATATATATGCCATTTTGATATGAAGGAAATAAACAACACACCATTGGTTTTCTATATTTCTCCTTATCTTCAAATTGTCATTATCTTTCAATAAAAAGAGGTGCAAACTTTTATTCAATTTGTGGTCTGGAGAGCACTCAAAATACTGTTTATATAAAATGATTGAAGTATATTTAGATCCAAGCACGTTGGATATGGATATGAGTTAATTAAGAACTTAGAAAGCCTAATGGTGTTGATTTAGTAAAAACATTAACAACTTAAATGCCAGATAATTAGCTGTTAACAGACATACCGACAAAGAATTTTAAGTAATAAAGTAGCATAAAGCTATCTGATTTGTCAGAATGTAAAAAACGAGTCCAAGTTGACTCCTTGGAGCTTTGATTCTCGTTCCAATAATACTTCCTCCACCATCTCTCCTCCTCTCTTAGATCTAAGAAACTGAGAAAACAAGAGAGAAAGAATGAGAAAGGGAGTTCTAACTCCTGACAGAGATCGTCAGATTATGGAACATGAGTTGCAGGAAACTGGTTTTAGTCCAGAATCAGAGAAAGTCAAGAACAAGAATTTTGAAGAAGATGAAGAAGAAGAGGATGAATCTGTGGAGAAGATCTTTGAGAGTAGAGAAGTACCTTCGTGGACGAAGCAGTTGACGTTGAGGGCTTTTGTGGTGAGCTTTATGCTAAGCATCTTGTTTAGCTTCATTGTTATGAAGCTTAATCTCACGACGGGAATCATACCTTCGCTCAATGTGTCTGCTGGTCTTCTGGGTTTCTTCTTTGTCAAGACGTGGACCAAGATGCTCCATAGGTCTGGTCTCTTGAAACAGCCATTTACTCGCCAGGAGAATACTGTTATTCAGACCTGTGTTGTTGCTTCTTCTGGCATTGCTTTCAGCGGTAAAGAAAACTCATCTTCACATTGAACCAGATAATTGAGTTAGAAATTAATTATCTTGCCATAGTTTTGCACTTTTGCTTGTGTGTGTTTTGTGACATTCTGATATAAAAGTACAAATCCTTTTGAGTCTTTTGTACCCATCACTCACCTGCTTTCTCTCTCCTTCTAGTTAGTTATGTTAAGTTTTTTGCTTAATAATAAATGCATCTACTTGGGCATATGAAAATATACAGGAGGTTTTGGGACATACCTCTTTGGCATGAGTGAACGAATTGCGACCCAATCAGGAGATGTTTCCCGTGGCGTCAAGGACCCTTCGTTGGGTTGGATTATCGGTTTCCTCTTTGTTGTCAGCTTTCTTGGCCTCTTCTCAGTTGTTCCCCTGAGAAAGGTTGGTCGCAGTTTTTGTTTCCTGCTTTCTCTCTTGTGAACCAAAAAGGAACAATGTGTTTATGAGATCTTGCATTGCCAATTTCTGTGTTTTGCAGATAATGGTAATAGACTTCAAACTAACATACCCAAGTGGTACTGCAACAGCTCATCTTATCAACAGCTTTCACACCCCTCAAGGCGCCAAGCTAGCCAAGTACTAACCTTTCACTTCACTTTATGCGCTTTTAAGTCTTGAGTTCTCTGCTTCCTTTTGACTCGATGCTGCTCTCTGCATCAGGAAACAAGTGAGGGTGTTAGGGAAATTTTTCTCTTTTAGCTTCTTCTGGAGTTTCTTCCAATGGTTCTTTACCGGAGGAGAAAATTGTGGGTTCTCCAACTTCCCAACATTTGGACTCAAAGCTTACCAGTACAAGTAAGCTCAATAAACAATATATGTAACTTGAAATTATAGAGCATTGGCTTGAACCACAATCTGGCTTATTGTTTTGTCAGTAATACCAATGCTCGTTCCTTTCTGGTGAGAGCCTGATGTACAAACAGGTTCTACTTTGATTTTTCAGCAACATATGTTGGTGTTGGAATGATATGTCCCTATATAATCAACATCTCTGTCCTATTGGGAGGAATCCTCTCTTGGGGGATAATGTGGCCCCTCATTGAAACCAAAAAGGGAGATTGGTTCCCTGATAATGTCCCATCCAGCAGCATGCATGGTCTCCAAGCTTACAAGGTAACTAAATTCTCCATAGCATTCCTCTGTTAATTATCTCTATGGACCACCCTCCTGCTTTGAGTTAATCTCTCTGTACTGGACCAATTTTTTATTTCTTTCAGGTGTTTATAGCTGTTGCTATAATCCTAGGAGATGGCTTATACAACTTTTGCAAAGTGCTGAGCCGGACTCTTTCAGGACTATTTATACAGCTCCGAGGACCTACTACATCTATTTCAAGAACCTCCTTCACACTTGAAGAAGACCCTCATGCTTCCCCATTAAGCCCAAAGCAATCTTATGATGACCAACGTCGTACAAGATTCTTCCTCAAAGACCAAATCCCTACTTGGTTTGCTGTTGGAGGTTATATCGCAATAGCTGCAACATCTACAGCGATACTCCCTCACATGTTCCACCAGCTGAGATGGTATTACATTCTGGTCATCTATATCTGCGCGCCTGTCTTAGCTTTCTGTAACGCTTATGGAGCTGGACTCACAGACTGGTCCTTGGCTTCAACGTATGGAAAGCTTGCCATATTCACAATTGGGGCTTGGGCTGGCTCTGAGCACGGTGGTATGCTGGCTGGTCTTGCAGCATGTGGTGTCATGATGAACATAGTCTCGACAGCTTCGGATCTGACACAAGACTTCAAGACAGGTTACCTCACTTTATCATCTCCAAAGTCAATGTTTGTGAGCCAAGTGATTGGAACAGCGATGGGTTGTGTGGTATCTCCTTGCGTGTTCTGGCTATTCTACAAAGCGTTTGATGATTTAGGCCTCCCAAACACTGAATACCCTGCTCCATTTGCTACCGTATATCGAAGTATGGCTAAACTAGGAGTGGAAGGTGTCGCATCTCTACCGAGAGAATGTCTCGTTCTATGCTACGCGTTCTTCGGTGTGGCGATTCTAGTAAACATAGTAAAAGATAGTCTCCAGAGCAAATATGGAAGGTTCATTCCACTTCCAATGGCAATGGCTATACCGTTTTTCTTGGGACCTTACTTTGCAATTGACATGTGTGTGGGAAGTTTGATACTTTTTATCTGGGAAAGAGTAGATGCAGCCAAGGCTGAAGCTTTCGGGACAGCGGTCGCTTCTGGTTTGATATGCGGAGATGGCATTTGGTCTTTGCCAAGCTCAGTGCTCGCTATAGCCAGAGTAAACCCTCCTGTTTGCATGAAGTTTCTCTCTGCTGCAACCAATTCAAAGGTGGACAACTTCCTACAAGGATCTACTTAAAACTCAAATAAGTAACCATATCTCAAGCAAGTGAAGGTGTAAAGATGCTTCAGTTTTTCTTATTTTACCATTATGACGATTTTGAATGTAACTCGTATATAAAGATCTTAGATGATGAAAGGGCTTGTGAATTGTGATTCATGATTGTCAAAACAGTTCAAAAATAGATTTTTGCTGTAACCCTTTAGGTTCAGACGAGAGAAGATGCTAACCTGAGGCAAAATCAAGGCAAAGGAGGGGCTTTTTCGCCGATTGTGGAGCCGGAGATAGGAGCGATTAGCACCGGGAAGAGAAGAAATATCGATTCTTTCAATTGGGTTCTCGAAGGAATCTTCACATGAGCATTAGTGATCAATTTTCGAGAGCTAGGGATTTGCTTAGCTTTGACTCCATGTTGGATTAAAATAACAAAAATAGAGAGATGATGTGTCGCAGTGACAGATATAAAAGGGTACGAGAAACCGTCATTTCTCCTTCTCTCTCTTTCCCTCTCCTTCAAATCCGTTCTTCCTTGAAACCATTTTGGCTCTCTGTTTACAAACTTCGTTTGATTTTTCAATTGCCTCTGTTTCTCTCTCTCTCTGGTTATCTTCATCAGAATGAACAGGAAGGCCTCTGTTTCCAAGGAGCTCAACGCCAAGCATTCAAAGGTTCCATTTTTATCCTCCTCCGTTTCGATTTCACCATTGATTTTGCGTCTGGAAAGTTGAAAGGTTCGAGATTTGTGTGGATTATAGATATTGGAAGCACTTTTGAAGCATCCAGACAATCGAGAATGTGCAGATTGTAGATCAAAGTAAGCATCTTGATAACATAATCTCTTTCTTCATGATCATGTAACAAAATGATAAGAGCTTTGTGTTGTTGGATCTATCTATTTCACAGGGCACCAAGATGGGCAAGTGTGAATCTTGGGATATTCATTTGTATGCAATGCTCTGGAATCCATCGTAGCCTCGGTGTCCACATCTCACAGGTCTCTAAATCATGTCTCAAATGATTGTGTTGAAAATGAATCATACAAATTAGTGATACTGATTGATTTTGAAAACAGGTAAGGTCTATAACTCTGGATACATGGCTTCCAGATCAGGTTGCTTTCATGAAATGTAAGCTCCTCTTTTGTGTATAATGAACCTATTCAGTAGTTGAATTCATATCAATCCCATAGCTTGATCATCTTATTCTCGGTCTAGCTACCGGTAATGATAAGGCAAATCAGTATTGGGAATCAGAATTGCCTCAACATTTCGAGAGAAGTTCAAGCGACACCTTTATAAGAGCCAAGTATTGATTCTTTTCTATGCTAGAAAGTGTTTGCCTTTGCTGCTTCCTCATCTACTACAACACAACTTTAGCTTGAATCTTTTTTCCTCTGTTTGTGTGTGTTTTAGATACAGTGAGAAGAGATGGGTTTCACCGGGAGGGATTCAACCGGCTCCTATAGTTAGCCAGCTAAGCTGCAAAGTTAGTCACTTGGTAGAGAGCGGATATAAGCCTGAAACTCCAAAGAAAGCTAGAACTCTTTCACTTGACGAAGAGATCCTTCTTCATCATGTTCTTCAAGTAACACCTCCAGAAACGAGAACTCGTGCGGTATGGTATCTCACGAAGTTCACTTTCTAAATCCAAACAAATGTTTATCTTTTTTTGGGTTCCGGTATGATCATTAGATCGGAAATTCATTCAATTTTCCTTGTTTGTCCTGTGGCAAGAATTAACAAAGCTTTTTAAGAAAGATTTAAATCATTTCCATCAACCGTTGTGCAATGCAGGGTTCGGTAGATATGAAGGAGAATGTATATGTTGTACCTCTACCAGTGGGGTTGGAATTCAAGAAACCAAATCAAAAGAATGAGATTTTCTCCAGTGAAATAAACCAGAATAGAAGAACCACCATAGCACCACCGTCGAGCTGGGCTACTTTCGACTGTAAGGCCATGATTCAGGCTTTTCCTTTGATCTTGTTTTAATTTTGAGGTTTTGATTCTAACTCTCTAATGTGAAACAGGAAGAGAAGAGACTCTATGAAGAAGGAGAAGATGGAGTTTTGGAAACAAATCATCATGTGGGCTTTAATTATAGTCAACAGGTTGGCAAAGATGGGATGATGAACTCAAAATTTAACAATGGAAGTTGGTTCTGTTTTCTATTTCTTTATTCATTCATAATCCAATTTTGGTTGCTTGTAACTAAATCATTTTTAATACAATGGAAGAGAGACATCTTGAGTATTTGACAAAAAAAGAAAGGAAATACAACTGACCAATGTGTGATTATTTTGAATTGCTAGACAAGTAACATCAATTGATTGGTCCATAGACCATACCATACTCCTCCATAACAACAATAATGATTTCATTAGTAGCTTTTCATTATTTTCGGTTTGTAGATCTCAATCTGAGTCATTGTTTTATTTAGTTGTCCGGTTTAGTTTGTATGGTTACATAGAAATCGAATAAAATTGAATCGAACCTAAACACACTAAATCGGTCGGTTTTGTTAATTTGGCGAGATTCGAAAAGGCCTAATAGAGATATGGGCCTTAGGCCCGAGAGAGAATCTATCACAAACTGGAACGAGGAAGATGAACAGAGAGCAGTTGTGATGTGAACTGAAGAGTGACGGAGATGGCGGCGAACGCGTGTCTACCTCCGCCGGCGTTAATGGCTGTCCGCGCAGAGGAAGGTGTTCCAAATTCAAAATCGACGCAGGGAAAAACTAGGCTCTATCTCACCAAACCTTCATGGATAGTCAGAACTCAGGTCTGAAACCAAAAACCCCCAATTTCTATCTCTAGACTCTTGATATCATTAATAAGAACGAGCTTAGAGCTAATGAATTCAATGGTTAACAGTCAGGAGCTAAGACGTGTATGAAGAGAAAGGCGAAAGGCCGATGCGTAATCTGCCATGGAACTGGAAGAGTCGATTGTTTCAATTGCTGTGGGAAAGGTAAAGAAACTAACTTCTCTCTCTGTTTCTCAACTTCATATGTCTCATATAATTGATTGCTTTTTTTTGTCTGTGTTATATGATTGAAGGGAGGACTAATTGTGTGGATGTGGAAATGCTTCCAAAAGGAGAATGGCCTAAATGGTAAATATTTTGAAGACAAAAAGATGTTCTTGAAGCTTGTATCTCTCTGATATTTTGATTCAAGAACTAAAGAAGTTTAAAGATTTTTTTTGGTTGTTTTGGTCACAGGTGCAAGAGTTGTGGAGGGAGTGGATTAAGTGACTGTTCTCGCTGTCTTGGCACCGGAGAGTATAGATACATTATGGGTTTCCGCTTCTTAAACCAAAACGATGATGGCGATCCACAATTATGATTTGCTGAAACTCTTCATGATCATGTCCTTGCCAGTTTTTGTATATGTTCAATGATGAGGCTTAAGACTTGTTTAGTAATGTATATGGTTGCTCCTGAATTGTTGATATTGTATTTGTATGCAATCTTCAAGGTCATCATGTTGCAAGTGAAGAGAAATCGCCACATCTTGTGTCTTTTGAGTCTACCAGTCCTTTAGGAAGATAATTGAAACATAGCTTTTGTTAGATTTATATATATGTATAAACCATCTTTTTAAGTTTACATTGCAAAATGGTTGTATCTTGGCTTTGTACTTTACTAATGCTATATTTGGACTCTTCAGTGTATAATGGAAAGGTTCTGAGTCATAATTTTAGTTTTGAGCTGACTAATTTGATTAAGAATCAATGTCTTGTGATGTTTATCTTCGGCTTTGAGTGTGTAACGAAGCAAAATTGTGAAATGCGGTTTAGTCAAACCGGATTTTAAACATTTTAATTTGATTATCTCGGTTTATTTTAGTCAGGCGCGCATTGTTGTGTGGTTCGATAATTTCTTATCGTTATGTCTTCCGTCGCTTTGCCGGCGATGAGCTGCCGGAGCTCAGGAGAACAAGTGAAGGAAATTCGCGTTTGTACGAATCGCACCTGCCGGAGACAAGGCTCCTTCCAGATTCTCGAGACTTTAACGGCTCTCGCACCTCCCGAACTCCGAGTCATTCCCTGCGCTTGCCTCGGCCGATGCGGCTCTGGTCCAAACCTCGTGGCTCTCCCTCAAGGTCTCATCCTCCGTCACTGCGCCACGCCTTCTCGAGCTGCTGAAATTTTGTTCAGCCTCTGTGGTGACGGTCGTGAAGCTTCTTCCTCCTCCGCCGTCACAGACGCCCTCACCGCTTTAGCGTTAACCAACAATGCTCTCTCTCAAATCGATGCGGGAAACTTCTCGGAAGCCGAAGCACTTCTCACTCAGGTCTGTTGACTTACGAATTTCTCCCAATTTCTTCCCCATTTTTTATGGAGCTTGACCATGGATGTGTATGGTTGCAGGCTTTAGAGCTGAAACCCTACGGTGGCTTGCATAGAATCTTCAAACACAGGTACTGAATTTCTCCTGGATACTGTTTCTTTATAGATTGTATGATGTAACTAGATTGTTGGAATTTGGTGATTGCAGATCAGTAGCAAAACTGGGAATGCTTGATTACTCTGGGGCTCTTGAAGATATAAGCCGTGCTCTAGCATTAGCTCCTAACTATTCTGAGGTATTCTCTGGAATAATACTCTTTTCATTTTGTGAATTTCATGTTTGAAAGCTTATGTTAATCCTATTTTTATGACTTTATCTACTAGCCCTACATTTGCCAAGGGGATGTCTACGTAGCAAAAGGTCAATATGATCTTGCAGAGAAGTCCTACTTGACATGTCTAGAGATAGATCCTTCTCTTCGCAGATCGAAACCATTCAAGGTTTGTTTTGTTTCACGTTGTGCTTAATGGAAGATAAGCTTCAATGTTCTGGCAAGGATGAACGGTTTTGCTTATAATCCATAATCTAATTTGAAACCTCTGTTAGAGACAAATTACAACAATTGTTGGTGTTTTAACTATCCTTTCAGGCCCGGATTGCTAACCTTCAACAGAAAGTTGTTGAAGTAGATGTGACATAGAAGTATTCTGACACTTGGAGTTGTATTGGATGTACACTGAATACTGTTGCAATAAATGTCTCTTTCCTTGGGTAGAAGATTGAGTGTTCCAGAGTGGAAAGGTATGTGTATAGGATATTAGTGTATCAAGAGGTAAATGACATTGCGCTGTATATATATTATTCAGGTAATATTATCCACGTTAATGACATTATTTTGGTACTAAAGACTACCCAAACAACAAGCTGCCTATCTTTGATAATTATTACGGTACTCAAGGAGCTACATTAATGCTTAGCTTCTGGCCATTTTCACAGTGATCACCCACTGCGCAGATGAACCATAACTCTCCAACTTCTGATATGATTATTGAGTCATTGCCTTTGGTGAAGAGAGATGTGTAGTTGTCTATTCCACAATCTGTGTATGCTGTAGAGTTAACTTGCATAACATTATGCTGGTCACTTTTGTAGTTGAATACTGTGGAAGAAGAGAGACAGATTTAGCAAGGTGAATGCTGTTATGCTGGAAACAACTTATCATATTTTCTTACCATTGATATGGAACAGAAGACTGCTGAAGAAGAGAGGCAGAATTAACAGAAATCATCTTTTGTGTTTGGTGAGACGGTATATGGGATTACAACATTGGTGCTGCTGTATTTAGGAATTCGTAGTACAGGAGTTAGAAAATTTACCTAAGACATCGCCGACATGAAACTCTCTTCCCTGTGTCCAGTTGGTATAGTTTGTAAAGAGTTCCCAGCCACTGCTGTCACCAACTATATGCTCTGTTCCTTCAGATTTTAGCATGAGAGAAGATAAAGAGAAAATGGCATAGAGTATAATCAAGCTAGAGAATCGGTTTCCCTGATGAAGCATTGTTATCTCTTAACCTATTGTGCTCTCAACTTATTCGGAAATACAGTATATTTATAGAAGTAGCAAGCATTTGTGGGTGGGACGGTCATGACATTGTTGTGTTTACTAGATAAGTAAGTCATGAAAACCATACATATGTAGATCGAGGAGTCACAGATTGTTTGCAGGATACAACAAACTGTGCATCAGGGCGATGCACTGAAAAGCATGAAACCTAATAAGGCGATAGAACATACATAGTCATGTATGCATTGTTCTTAGTTTACTAATACACCAAAGGATTAAGCTAATTAGGCTTGTCGAAAGTGCAGCATGAAGGAGCAGCAGCTGATGGGTTAAGGCTGCGCTTTGTAAACAGGTTAATGGTGTTCAGCTTGTTCAACCACTTGAATCCAGTCTTCTCTTCGGTTTTGCTCTCCTTCTTCTTTTTGGTCTTATGCTTATCCAGGCCAAAGCATCCGGATGAGACCTTATCAGAGACAGGTTCTGAGTTCCTGGATTCCTGAAGCGAGTAGATGCGGTTCTGGAGAATGCAGACCTTGTGAAAGTGGTCATCTCTCATCTTAAGCACACACCTAGCGAGCCCAACAGCTTCGTTCTTCATGAACAACGCCTCAGTCGCTAGCTCTCTGTTTTCCTCCAAGAGAGAAGTGAGTTTGTAGCCAAGATTAGCGTTTTCCTCCACAGCCACTTCCTTCTCCATCTCCAGCAACATGACAAACTTCTTCAACAGCTCTATAGTCTTGGAGGCTTCATGAAACTGTTGCTCCTTGTAAAGTAACTCGTGTTTCAGAATCTCTTTGTCCAAGCTTGCTGTCACAAGTTGGGATACCAGCTCCTCAACTTTCTCTGAAACCGCAGCAGAATCTTGCATCTGTTGAAAGGATAAGGTGCTTTCGACTTCGGAACTGATCTCACTGACGGAATCAAGGTCTGAAATGCAGTCATCATCATCTTGGAGAAGCTGGTTCGGAAGAGAAGTAGTGGGTTTAAGTCTGGTCTGATGAGAAGAACGACCCAAGAGAGTGACGTAGCCGTTGTACAGGTCAAGACAAAGCGAGAGAAGTAGAGGTCGTCTCTGGTAAAACCATTCAGCTCGTTGAGCAAACGTATCATCATCTCCTTGGCTTTCTTCAAAACCAGACTCACGCAGGATTTGCATCCGAGCTTCAAGGTCTGTTTCCAACATTTTCAGACAAGAAGTGATGAGAGAGAAAGACAAAGAAACAGAGGAGAAAGAGAAAGAAAAAGGGGGGCCCACTGTTTTCTGTAGCAAGCTTTGTTTTTGAAATTTTGAAAATGTGAAAAAGCTCCAAAAAGAGAATTTGAAAATGGAAGAGGAACCGTACCAGAGAGAGATGGCAACTGCGGTGGAGGATGAGTAGCTTCCATGGATGCTTTGTTCTTCTTCATCTTCTTCAACCTGAAAGATATATACTTGTTTTAGTTAGTGATTTTGTAAAGGGAAAATGAGAATAATACATAGATCAAGACATTGATGGCTTTTCCAAGAAGATAATAAATGTTGAGACAAGGATATTTTTGATCATCGAGATTAGTGAAGGATTGGAGTGGGAAGAAGATACAAACCCAGAAATAGTGAAAGAGAGAGAGAGAGAAGATAGCTGACACGTTTGTTCAGTTGTATCAGTGCAGAGCATATAACAGGCAAAATCCGCCAAAGCTACAAGCATTTGATTTTGTTCCACTCAGCTTTTAACACGTGGCTTAAGTACCTGGGCTTGGAAGTTTCGGCCCATTTTTTTGTTGGGCTTAATAAATCAAAGCCTTTAGGTTTTTAGATTCTGACAAAAAATTTAAAAAGCAGAAAGAGAGAGAGAGCAATGCACATAGTTGATCGAATGACAATTTTGTCAATTTATATTCCAGAAGAGGCCATAAAGTAATGTCAATTATCGATCGAAATAATTTAATATAAATAAATAAAAACGTGCGTTTTATAAAAAGCATGACCTGTAAGTAAAGTAGAGCTATTTTTCTATTTTCACACATATGCGGATCTGTTTATTCACACTCTTAATTATTTTATTAGTATACGAGAGACAATTGCATTTAAATAAAGCTCAACTGTGTGTTTGCTGAGAAATTCCAAGCTCAGAAATCATTATTCATAGTCTTTGGAAACAAGTCTTGGATAAAGTAACACAAGAGGCAGCTTCTTGAGGTTTTCTCTCTTCCAACCTTTTTGCTTTACTAACTTATAAAAACAAATCCTTTTGAAGCTTCGTTGATGGGTTCAACACAAGATGTAACATTTCTTTTCTTATTTTTTTCCATTTTGACAAATCGAGTTTCCTGCAAAGTTTAATGTATTTCATGTTTTTTCTTTCTTCATTCTTTTCCTTATAAAACATACTCCACACTTGTCTCTGTCATCGTCTCCTCCTTTCTTCTTCTCTCTGTCATCATTTTTCTTCTTTTTCTCCTATAATCCCTCGAATCTTGAGTTTCTAGAAAAAAAAATGGCTTCTTCGAACGAAAACGACGAGTTTCCCATTCTTCCAATTCCAAAAGCAACACCTCGTGCTCACACTAGGGCTTTTACTTTCAGGAACCGTAGTGTTTCTCTCTCAAACCCAACTTTCTCCATTGACGGATTTGACAACTCGAGTGTGGTTTTAGGCTACACAGGTCCTCTTCGAACCCAGAGAATAACACCTCCTTTAGTGCAAATGAGTGGTCCTCTTCACTTTACTCGCAGAACAGAACCTCTCTTCTCTCCTTCTCCTCAAGAACCTCCTGATTCCTCCTCCTCCTCCTCTACCGTTAATGTTCCACCTGAAGATGATTTTGTCTTCCAAAACGCAAATCTTTTGAGATCTGGACAATTAGGGATGTGCAATGATCCTTACTGCACTACTTGCCCTTCTTACTACAACCGCCAAGCTGCTCAATTTCACACTTCCAGAGTTTCTACCTCTAGGGTATGTATTTCTTCTTACCTTGAGACTCAAGTAAATGTTAGACATAGCAGCTGACACAAAGAGTATTTTTCCTTTTTTCTCTTGTTTAGTTTCGCACTGTTCTGTATGATGATGCTAGAGGTTGGGCTAAGCGATTCGCCTCCTCTGTTCGTAGATGCTTACCTGGAATAATGAATCCTCATTCCAAATTCGTTCAAGTCTGGACTAGAGTCTTAGCCTTTTCAAGCTTAGTGGCCATTTTTATAGATCCTCTCTTCTTGTTCCTCTTATTTATCCAACAAGTATGTTTCCTTCTCTTGCTCTATCAATCTCCTCCTTGCAACTGTATATGTTTTCATGAGTTTAATACTGCAGGACAACAAATGCTTAGCGATTGATTGGCGTGCGACTAAAGTACTGGTGTCTCTTAGAAGTATAACGGATCTTGTATTCTCCATTAACATTCTACTTCAGGTCTGTCTCCTCGGCTCATATCTCCTATCTAAGGAAATTTATTGGCTCTAACAGTTCTTTGGTCATATGTCTTGTAGTTTAGGTTGGCCTATGTAGCCCCTGAATCTAGAATAGTTGGTGCCGGCCAGTTAGTTGATCATCCAAGAAAAATTGCTCGCCATTACTTCCAAGGAAAGTTTTTTCTTGATCTGTTCATAGTGTTACCCATTCCACAGGTATTGTAGTAATAACCTTCAAATGTCTCTGAGTTTTATTAACTCGAAGATCTCTTTCAAACGCTAGATTTCTCCTTTTGTATACAGATAATGATATTATGGATAATACCAGCACACTTGGGCACACGCAGGGAAGAATATGAGAAACAGATTATACGCGCTACGGTTCTTTTTCAATACATTCCAAAGTTATATAGACTCTTACCTCTTCTTGCTGGACAAACACCGACCGGCTTCATATTTGAGTCAGCCTGGGCTAATTTTGTTATTAATCTTCTCACCTTCATGCTTGCTGGTCATGCTGTTGGCTCTTGCTGGTACCTTTCTGGTCTGCAGGTATATAATATATGTTAGTGTCTTTGAAGATTCTTTTTATATCAAGTGATTGAAAGATTGTTCTCTTTGATTTGCTTTTTTCAGAGAGTTAAGAAATGCATGCTGAATGCTTGGAATATTTCTGTGGATGAACGTAGAAATCTTATCGATTGTTCGCGTGGAAGTTATGCATCGGAGTCACAACGAGCTCTCTGGAGAGATGGTGCTAGTGTCAATGCTTGTTTTCAAGAGAATGGTTTTACTTATGGGATCTATTTGAAGGCAGTGAATCTTACCAATCAATCTAGTTTCTTCACAAGATACAGTTATTCTCTGTTTTGGGGATTCCAAGTAAGTTGTGCTCTATTAAGTTCATTTCAAGTTTGGTTAACAATTAGTCTTTGAATCACTCTTAACTAATGTCTAAATGGTTTCAATATTGAAAGCAAATAAGCACACTTGCTGGAAACTTGTCCCCAAGTTACTCAGTGGGGGAGGTTTTCTTTACAATGGGTATCATTGGACTAGGGCTTTTGCTTTTTGCGCGGCTTATCGGTAATATGCAAAACTTCCTTCAATCTCTTGATCGGAGGTAAACACATTTCATCAAACCATGTTTCAAAAGAAAAGTTCTTAAAACAGATGGTGGATTTCTTGGCTAATGAATGTTCTGTTTTAGGAGGATGGAAATGATGTTGAGACGGCGTGATGTAGAGCAGTGGATGAGCCACAGACTGTTGCCAGAAGATATAAGAAAGTCTGTGTACTGTGGCATTTTGATTTTCTCAGGCTATGTAATGTGACCTTCAAAACTAATCAACTCAATCATTGTACAACATTTTCAGAAGAGTGCGCGAGGCTGAGCGGTACAATTGGGCTGCGACTAGAGGAGTTAACGAAGAATTTCTATTCGAGAATATGCCTGATGACCTTCAAAGAGATATAAGACGACATCTCTTTAAATTTCTCAAGAAGGTAATAAGCAACAGCCTCATGAGAGCATTAATCAGTATTCTTTTTGTGTACTTAGACTCCACAGTGTTGCAAGAAGCTAGTTCTGAATCCAACTGTTAATGTGTTTGCAGGTGAGAATATTTTCGTTGATGGATGAATCAGTTTTAGATTCAATCCGTGAGAGGCTGAAACAGAGGACATACATAAGGAGTAGCACGGTGTTGCACCGCAGAGGTCTAGTAGAAAAAATGGTATTTATAGTGAGAGGTGAGATGGAGAGCATTGGAGAAGACGGTTCTGTTCTTCCTTTGTCAGAAGGAGACGTTTGTGGTGAAGAACTTCTCACTTGGTGCCTCGAACGCTCCTCTATAAACCCCGGTAGGTATCAATAAGATTCGACTCTAAGTGTTCATTACTCTTAATATTTTGGGTTAGAAACTTGAAACAGAAACCTTTTTAGAAGAAGCTTGATTAAGGAAAAACTTGGAGCTGAATATGTTTTTAAACTTGCAGATGGGAAAAGGATAAAGATGCCAACAAAGGGATTAGTTAGCAACAGAAATGTTAGGTGTGTGACAAACGTGGAAGCGTTTTCGCTGAGTGTAGCAGATCTTGAAGATGTAACAAGCTTGTTTTCAAGATTCTTAAGGAGTCATCGAGTGCAAGGAGCTATAAGGTACGAGTCTCCTTATTGGAGATTACAAGCAGCGATGCAGATTCAAGTGGCTTGGAGATACCGAAAGAGACGACTTCAGAGATTTTACACTGCTCAGTCTAGTTCCAACAATTCGATTGGATGATAAATTGATGATACTTGGTTTACGTATAAAGCTTAGTGGTTGTTAAATATACATCTTTTTGCTGTTTTTCCAATCATCCCATCGTTAACTAATGAAAACTTTACATTAACAGTGAAACCCATTCGAGTTAAAAAGTTATAACAAGTTGAATAGTTAAAAACTGAGTACTTGGGCTTATAATTCGGCCCATTATTTTATATTGATCTTAAGCAATAAGAGTTGGTAATGAATGATTTTGCCTTTTTGTACATTCTTTTTAGTTACTCAAAGTCTCAAAGAAGTAAGATAAAGAAAGAGAAGCAACCATATATTTAATGACACTTTACCTCCAATTAAGTGACAAGTTGTTTTTGGTAATCCAATTAAGTGACAAGTTGATGGAGTTTTACAAAACCGTGAATATTCAAAAGGAAAATAAATAACATCATTTATTCCCTCTTCTTTCTCAATATTCTCCACCATGTAATTGGTAACATTCATTTCCATAAATAAAAAAACACAGAGGAGAGAGAAGCCTCACGGACACGGACAATGAAATAAACAATGTAATAAAAAGTCAGTGTTTGACTTTTCCAGACATGAGTTTTAATTTACAATAATACACTTCCTTGACTTGGGCTACGAAGAAGAAGACCCCTGACTTGGTCATCATCGTCTCCTTTCTTATTTCTCTATTCTTCTTCTTATCAAAATTACTAAAACTCTCTGCTTCAACTTCCTTCTCCGCCTCAGATTATCCCCTAGATTCTCTGTTTCTAGGGTGTTTTCTTTCTTCTTGAAACCTTGATTTTAATAAAGAAATGGCTTCCCACAACGACAACGATGATATTCCCATGCTTCCAATTTCAGACCCATCATCTCGTACTAGAGCCAGAGCTTTCACTTCCAGGAGTCGTAGCGTTTCTCTCTCAAACCCTACTTCTTCCATTGAAGGATTTGACAATTCCACTGTGGTTTTAGGCTACACGGGTCCTCTTCGAACTCAGAGACGTCCTCCTTTAGTTCAAATGAGTGGTCCTCTTACCTCTACTCGCAAACCTGAACCTCTCTTTCTTCCTCATCCTTCTTCTGGTTCTTCTGATTCCGTTGGTGTCTCTTCTCAGCCTGAGAGGTATCCTTCTTTTGCTGCTCTTGAACATAAAAACTCCTCAGACGATGAGTTCGTTTTGAAACACGCAAATCTCTTGCGGTCTGGACAATTAGGGATGTGTAATGATCCTTACTGTACTACTTGCCCTTCTTACTACAACCGTAAAGCTGCTCAAATCCCTACTTCTAGAGTTTCTGCCCTTTTTGATTCCACGGTAAAGTTTGATTCTTTTCTAGCTACTTCACATTCACAAAAATAGCTTCAGGCTCAAGTAAATGTTGCTGAAACAGAGTCTTTTGTTTTCTTGCTAGTTCCATAATGCTCTGTATGATGATGCTAAAGGTTGGGCAAGGAGATTTGCTTCCTCTGTTAATAGATACTTACCTGGAATCATGAATCCTCATGCCAAAGAGGTTCAAACCTGGACTAAATTCTTCGCCCTTTCATGCTTGTTAGCTATTTTTATAGATCCTCTCTTCTTCTTCCTCATAAAAGTCCAAGAGGTATGTTTTTCCTTCAGAGATATCTCTCTCTATCTTTTGCTTCTTAAAGTGTTGTTTATCTTGCCTTTTAACCACCTTTTTTGACTATCTTTATTTTCTCACTGTAGCAAAACAAATGCATTATGATTGATTGGCCGATGACTAAAGCATTTGTAGCTGTTAGAAGTGTAACAGATGTTATATTCACTATGAACATTCTACTTCAGGTGTTTTTCCTTTGCTTACATTTCTCCATCTCTTTTTAAACAAAAATATGTTGGCTTTAATGCTCACTTCTTCCATATTTGTTACAGTTCCGATTGGCCTATGTAGCTCGTGAGTCTACGGTAGTTGGTGCTGGCCAGTTAGTTAGTCATCCCAAAAAAATTGCCCTTCATTACTTTAGAGGAAAGTTTTTCCTTGACTTGTTCATAGTGATGCCACTTCCACAGGTATTATAATGTTAGAGCTAATACTGGTTTTAGGTAATGGTAATCGGAAGATGTTCATTTATGTTTTCATGTTTTGTTTTGTTTACAGATATTGATTTTATGGATAATACCAAAACATTTGGGTGCATCCGGGGCAAACTATGCGAAAAACCTTCTACGAGCTGCAGTTCTTTTCCAATACATTCCGAAGTTATATAGACTTCTACCATTTCTTGCTGGACAAACACCTACCGGATTCATATTTGAGTCAGCTTGGGCTAATTTTGTTATTAATCTTCTCACTTTCATGCTTGCTGGACATGTTGTTGGCTCTTGCTGGTACCTTTTCGGTCTGCAGGTATGTTAAAGTCTCAAAACTTATAATGTCCTTTCTTATTGTTGGCCTGATCAGCAGAAGATACATATATTTAAAGTGATTTATATTGATTCTTCTCATTGTCTGTTTCCCTTTTTCTTTTTGTCTCTTTCAGAGAGTTAATCAATGCCTTCGAAATGCTTGCGGTAATTTTGAGCGTGAATGTCAAGATCTTATAGATTGTGGTAATGGAAATAGCACTGTGTTAGTACGAGCAACCTGGAGAGATAATGCGAGTGCCAACGCTTGTTTCCAAGAAGATGGTTTTCCTTATGGAATATATTTAAAAGCAGTCAATCTAACCAATCATTCTAGTCTCTTCACAAGATACAGTTACTCTCTCTTCTGGGGTTTTCAGCAAATAAGCACTCTTGCTGGAAACCAAGTCCCAAGCTACTTTCTAGGGGAGGTCTTCTTTACTATGGGTATCATTGGACTAGGGCTTTTGCTTTTTGCGCTTCTTATTGGTAATATGCAAAATTTCCTTCAAGCTCTTGGTAAAAGGTAAACAATTCAATCATTGCACAAAAATAGATATTTCAAGACATAATGGTTGGTTTTATAATCACTAAGTACTCTGGTGATTGTGATTTGTCCATATTAGGAATTTGGAAATGACGCTAAGACGGCGTGATGTGGAGCAATGGATGAGCCATAGACGGTTGCCAGATGGTATAAGAAAGTATGTGGACTATCCCTATAAAACTTTGCTTCACAGTTGAATATTTTTGTTTGAAGAATTACATTGGTTTCAATTTCAATATTGTCACTATAAAACTTACTGATTAATGGTTCAACATTTTCAGGAGGGTGCGAGAGGCAGAGCGGTTCAACTGGGCTGCTACTAGAGGCGTTAACGAAGAATTGCTGTTTGAGAATATGCCTGATGATCTCCAAAGAGATATAAGACGACACCTCTTTAAATTTCTCAAGAAGGTAAACATATGTGAAACTTCTGTGTGAATAGTCCAAACTTGCAAAGTGTTGCAAAGAGCTACTTCTGGAATCTAGCTGTGTAGAGACTGCTGCTGAAACCATAAATAATAGTTAGAGATCACAAGTTAACCATTGCTGAGAATATTATTGAAATGTGAATGGGGTTGCAGGTGAGAATATTTTCGTTGATGGATGAACCAATCTTAGATGCAATCCGTGAGAGGCTGAAACAGAGGACATATATAGGGAGTAGCACAGTGTTGCATCGCGGAGGTCTAGTTGAGAAAATGGTATTCATAGTGAGAGGTGAGATGGAGAGCATTGGAGAAGACGGTTCTATTCTTCCTTTGTCAGAAGGCGACGTTTGTGGTGAAGAACTCCTCACTTGGTGCCTCGAACGCTCTTCTGTAAACCCCGGTACCATCCCTTTTGACTCTTATGTGTTCATAAATCTCAAACTTTTTTGTTCCTTAGATGACACTTCATTAAGGAAAATCTTGGAACTGAATATGTGTTGAAATCTTCAGATGGGACGAGGATAAGGATGCCGTCAAAGGGATTGCTTAGCAACAGAAATGTTAGGTGTGTGACAAATGTGGAGGCATTTTCGCTGAGTGTGGCAGATCTTGAAGACGTAACAAGCTTGTTCTCGAGATTCTTGAGGAGTCATAGAGTCCAAGGAGCCATAAGGTACGACTCTCCATATTGGAGGCTACGAGCTGCTAGGCAGATTCAAGTGGCGTGGAGATATCGTAGGAGACGGCTTCAGAGATTATGTACTCCTCAGTCTAGTTACAGCCTTTAGTTTGTATTCCTCATTTTTCATGAATTGATGATTATATGTAATTTGGTGCTTGTGACATAAGTGGTGTTACTGTATTATAAGGTAGCTCAATGCTTCACTTAAATTCAACAAATTAAAATTATGTAAGTAACCAAAAAAAAATATATTCAAGATATTCTTTGTAGATTAATACAATTTTACCCCTTGGAGATTTTTTTTTCTCCTCTTTTAGCCCCATATCTTTCTCTACTAACACCAGCATTATCTTTTCCTATACTTTCTTTCTTTATTTTAGAATTTATGGATATTGTTGAAAACAACCTATATATATTTATTTATTTTGACAAATTTTCCCATATAATTATCAGATTATTTAGCAGCTAAACTTGCAAAAACAGTTTGACCAAAAAGTAAAAGAATTTGTAGAACAGAACACCTAATGGCGTCGGTAAAGTTTCCGTGGGAGTTGGAGGAAGAGATACTGTCTCGGCTTCCACCTCGATCTCTTGTTCGGTTCAGATCCGTATGTAAACACTGGAACGATCTTTTCAACGACAAAACGTTCGTCAACAACCACTTGGCTCGTGCCCGTCCCCAATTCATCATCCTGACCGAATCGAAGAAGATGTACTCGATAGACATCGATATGGGCGGAACAATAGAGGTGCGTGAGCTATCCTATGATTTTCATTGTCAGCCTATGAAGACGAAATTTACAACTATCATGGCTTGCGATGGGTTATTGTTTCGTGAATTTTGGAAACAAGGTGTTGCGGTTTGGAATCCGTGGTTGAGACAGGTTGGATGGATCGAGTACGAGGATAAAGGTTTCCATATTTGTGGTGTAGGATACGATAGTTGTAGACCCGAAAAGGGTTACAAGATCTTGGGGTATATTAATTGTATCCGTAGAGTCAGCGACTCTCTCCAGGAAGGTTATGACAAAGTTGCGATCTACGAGTGTGCTTCTCAGGCGTTGAAGTTTATTGATACCCCTTTCAACCACTGTCCCACTAAGGATCCTTTGTCCGTGAACGGGAATCTTTATTGGCTTGCTCAGAATCGCGAGACTCTTGAGTATTTCATCCAAACCTTTGATTTCTCCGTGGAGATATTCAAACCCTTTTGTCTCCTGCCGTGTCGGAAGGACTATTGTAGCAATGAACTTGTCCTGGCGGTTTTTGAGGAAGATCGGTTTTCGTTGTTAAAGCAATCCTTCGAAACAAGGAAGATTGAGATTTGGGTATCGAAGATGAAGATTGATAGAGAGGAGGAGGTGGTGTGGATAAAGTTGATGACTTTGCCAACAACCAACTTGCCTAAGCTAGATTATAAGTATTGTGGCATTAGTTACTTCATCTTTGAAGAGACCCTAATCATGTGTTGTGGCGACGACGAAACTGGAGCGGCTTGCATCTATATGGTGAGGGGAGATATGTTCAAGAAGATTCAGATAGATTCTGGGATTGTTCGGTTTTCTCAGTGTGTCTATCTTCCAAATTTGCTCTCGGTTCCTTTTGTATCACATCAAGTTTAAATTTTGGATTTTTTTGATTAGTTACAAATCTAAATTCTATAATTGTGTTCCTCACTTTACTGGTCAAAGCAATCGAGTCATGAAAAGGTTCCTGAAACTGGTAAAAGCAATTAAGTGGGAAATAACGAGAGAAAGTGTAAAAATGATTTAGACATGCTGAAAATGTTGTAGCAGAAAAGCTGATCAGGAGAAGTTCTCGATCTGAACCAAGGTATGAGAAATGCGAGGAAGCGAATGAATCGCTTTGATTAAATGGCACAAAGATAGAAATGAAAAAGATGGTATCAAAGTGGTTTCAATTCATCTATTGTTTGTCTATTTCACCTTGATTCCCTTTTCTGGACATTCATGTTTGTCCACTTGCTTCTGTATTTCATCCGTGTTTTACACGGTTTATCTTTATGGAAATTTCAGTGAAAAAAAGAAAGAAAAACAGAGGAGGACCCTTACGGACAATGAAATAAAAAGTCAGTCTTCTTCTTCACTTTTTCAGATATAATAATAATAATGCATTTGCTTGGCAGGCTACGACAAAGACCCTGACTTGCTTGACGGGCTACGAGAAAGACCTTAAGTTGGTCATCGTCCCCTTCACTTATTTATTCTTCCCCATTTACCAAAACTCTCAACACTCTGCTTCAACTTCCCCGTAACTCTCCGCCTCAGATTTTCTCTTTATGCCCTAGATTTGCTTGTTTTTAGGGTCTTCTTGATACTTTCATTTTGGTCTGAAAATGGCTTCACTCAACGAAAACGAGGAGACTCCTCTGCTTCCAATTTCAGACTCATCATCTCGTACTAGTGATTTCACTTCCAGGACTCGTACCGTTTCCCTCTCAAACCTTTCTTCCTCCGTTGACGGATTTGAAAATTCAACTGTGGTTTTTGGCTACACAGGTCCTCTTCGAACTCGGAGACATCCTCCGTTACTTCAACTGAGTGGTCCTCTTTACTCTACTTGCAAACCTGAACCTCTCTTTCTTCCTCTTCCTTCTTCTGGTTCTTCTGATTCCGTTGGTGTCTCTTCTCAGCCTGAGAGGGATCCTTCTTTTTCTGCTCTTGAACACAAAAACTCCTCAGACGATGAGTCCCTTTTGAAATACGCAAATCTCTTGGGATCTGGACAATTAGGGATGTGTAATGATCCTTACTGTACTACTTGCCCTTCTGATTACTTCCGTAAAACAGCTCAAACCCCTACTCCCAGAGTTTCTGCCATTTTTTATTCCCCGGTATGTTTAAGTTCTTACTTACTCATTCATTCACAAAATAGCTTCAGGCTCAAGTAAATGTTGTTGAAACAGAGTCTTTTGTTTTCTTTATTCAGTTCCATAATGCTCTGTATGATGATGCTAAAGATTGGGCGAGGAGATTTGCTTCCTCTGTTAATAGATACTTACCTGGAATCATGAATCCTCATGCCAAAGAGGTTCAAACCTGGACTAAATTCTTCGCCTTTTCATGCTTGTTAGCTATTTTTATAGATCCTCTCTTCTTCTTCCTCATAAAAGTTCAAGAGGTATGTTTTTCCTTCAGAGATATCTCTCTCTACCTTTTCCTTTGAACCACCTTTTTGACCATCTTTCTTTTCTTACTGTAGCAAAACAAATGCATTATGATTGATTGGCCGATGGCTAAAGCTTTGGTAGCTGTTAAAAGTGTAACAGATATTATAATCTCTGTGAACATTCTGCTTCAGGTGTGTTTCCTTTGCTCCCGTTTATCCATCTTTGAAAAAATAAAATCTGTTTGCTTTAATGCTTCTTCTTGCATATTTGTTGAAGTTCCGAATGGCCTATGTAGCTCGTGAGTCTACGGTAGTTGGTGCTGGCCAGTTAGTTAGTCATCCCAAAAAAATCGCCCTTCATTACTTTAGAGGAAAGTTTTTCCTTGACTTGTTCATAGTGATGCCACTTCCACAGGTATTGTAATATTAGACGGTCTAACTTAGACCTATGACTGGTTTTAAGTAATGGTAATCGGAAGATGTTCATTTATACAGCAGATTTCTCCTTGCATGTTTTCTTCTGTTCACAGATATTGATATTATGGATAATACCAGAACACTTGGGGGCATCTGGGACATCCGGGGCAAACTGCACGAAAAACCTTTTACGCGCTGTAGTTCTTTTCCAATACACTTCAAAGTTATATAGACTTCTACCATTTCTTGCTGGACAAACACAGACCGGATTCATATTTGAGTCAGCTTGGGCTAATTTTGTCATTAATCTTCTCACTTTCATGCTTGCTGGACATGTTGTTGGCTCTTGCTGGTATCTTTTTGGTCTGCAGGTATGAAAAAGTCTCAAAACTTATGTCATTCACTTTTATCTAATGTCTTTTCATATTGCTGGCTGGCTTTTCTTAAAGTACTTATCTTCTCATTGTTTGTTTCCATTTTTTCTGTTGTCTCTTTCAGAGAGTTAATCAATGCCTTCAAAATTCTTGCGGTGATTTTGAGCGTGAATGTCGAAATCTTATAAGTTGTGGTAATGGAAATAGCAATGTATCTGTAGGAGCTGCCTGGAAAGACAATGCTTGTTTCCAGGAAGTTGGTTTTCCTTATGGAATATATTTAAAAGCGGTCAATCTTACCAATCATTCTAGTCTCTTCACAAGATACAGCTACTCTCTCTTCTGGGGTTTCCAGGTAATTGGTTTTATTCAGTTTTTTAGTAGCAAATTAAGAACAAGTACTCAACTACTTTGCATTGAGTGGCATATTTGGAACTCTTCATTAATGTCATTTTCTTTTTATAATTCTCAAAGCAAATAAGCACTCTTGCTGGAAACCAAGTCCCAAGCTACTTTCTAGGGGAGGTCTTCTTTACTATGGGTATCACTGGGCTGGGGCTTTTGCTTTTTGCCCTTCTTATTGGTAATATGCAAAATTTCCTTCAAGCTCTTGGCAAAAGGTATACAATTGCATCATAACATCACTGTATAAAAGAAGATATTGCAAGACATAATGGATGGTTTCTGAATTACCAAGTACTCTGGTGATTGTGCTTTGTCCATATTAGGAATTTGGAAATGACGCTGAGACGGCGTGATGTGGAGCAATGGATGAGCCATAGACGGTTGCCAAATGGTATAAGAAAGTATGTGGACTATCCCTATAAAACTTTGCTTCACAGTTGAATATTTTTGTTTGAAGAATTACATTGGTCTCAATTTCAGTGTTGTCACTATAAACTAACTGATTAATGATTCAACATTTTCAGGAGGGTGCGAGAGGCTGAACGGTTCAACTGGGCTGCTACCAGAGGCGTTAACGAAGAATTGCTCTTTGAGAATATGCCTGATGACCTTCAAAGAGATATAAGACGACACCTCTTTAAATTTCTCAAGAAGGTAAATTAATATCAGAGTCCAGTTCTGTGTGCATAAGTCCCAATTCTATAGTTTTTCAAAAGAGCTACTTGTACAAACTAACTGTATAGAGACTGCTGCTGAAACCAAAGTAACAGTTATGATATCACAGATTAACCATTGTTGAGACTATATACTTAAAAGCAAGAATAATATCACAGATTAAGCATGGTAGATTATTGTAATGTTGTTGGGTTCGCAGGTGAGGATATTTTCGTTGATGGATGAATCAATCTTAGATGCCATCAGTGAGAGGCTGAAACAGAGGACATACATAGGGAATAGCACAGTGTTGCACAGCGGAGGTCTAGTTGAGAAAATGGTATTCATAGTGAGAGGTGAGATGGAGAGCATTGGAGAAGACGGTTCTGTTCTTCCATTATCGGAAGGCGACGTTTGTGGCGAAGAACTTCTCACTTGGTGCCTCAAACGCTTTTCTGTAAACCCTGGTACATCCCCTTTGACTCTTATGTGTTTATAAATATCAAAGTTTTGGATTAGAAACTCGAAACTGAATATGTTTTGAAACTTGCAGATGGGACGAGAATAAAGATGCCACCAAAGGGATTGGTTAGCAACAGAAATGTTAGGTGTGTGACAAATGTGGAAGCGTTTTCGCTGAGTATAGCAGATCTTGAAGACGTAGCGAGCTTGTTCTCGAGATTCCTAAGGAGCCATAGAGTCCAAGGAGCCATAAGGTATGAGTCTCCTTATTGGAGGCTACGGCAGATTCAAGTGGCTTGGAGATACCGAAGGAGACGGCTTCAGAGAGTATACAGTGCTCAGTCTAGTTACATCCGTTAGGTTATATGCTTCATTCTCGATGGATTGATGATGATATGTAAGTTTGGTGGTTGTCACATAGGTTGTGTGTTTGTATCATAAGATAGCTCAATCATAATTTGGAATGAGCAGAAATACTGTTATTATAATTTCAAATTTGGATGGCTCACAAATCATATTTAGTTATTTACTACGGAGTTCATAAGTTTACATGATGCAATGAAGGAGCTAAATATACAAAATAAATAATACTTATATTCATACTACTTATTCAATAGACACGAACAAAGAAAAACAAAAGAGATGTAAGAAGATGATTAGTTTCTTTAACTGTGACTAAACCCGATATTTATTTGTTGCCTCCAAATTACTAGATTTGAACCAAACTTGGAACATAATTGTACATAAGCGGGTAACTATATCGATAATCAATTTTCCCAATTACTATTTCTCTGTATATATCTTCTCCAATAATGAATATCTTTATATCCTCGATCCACTTCCTTGACTCTGCGTCTGTATCATGGTCTGTATGCCACACCAGAGCGACTTTATAATCTTCATCGATGGAAAAAGTCGTCTTAAACGAAAACATATTATCAGTACCTGCTGGAAGTTTTAACCCCATGTCCACTTCTACAAACTGGTTCCACGATACAGCATTGGGTTCAATTTTATCTCTGACCCATATCTCCATCTCAAATGCCCAGCGCTGCATTAGCACCGCAAGTTTATTTTCTCTAGTAACAGATAGAGCCACAATATCCTCACCATTATACTGAAATGGAACGTCCATGGCTTCAAATATCTCTTTTGAAAAATCAAAACTTACTAAACAAGTATTGTGCTCTGTTCCTTCTTTATATTCTGAAGCAAACCAATAAGCATTACCTTCCAGGGAAACTGCATGCGTTCTTATGCACCAGTCACATGTGACATCAAGAACCCTCCATGAATTTGAGTTAAACTCATATATTTCTATACCATGTGCATCTTGGATCCTTAACATTTTGTAGTTATAGCACGATTTCTTGTATTCGTATCCGAAAGCAAATCTATCAGATTTGTCGTATACTCTTCTCGGTTCCACCCACTTGGTTTCCCCTGTGCAAGGATTCCAAACCATGGGTATGTTGTCCTTTGTGATGCAGAATAGTAAACCATTGCAGTGAACCATTTTATTTATATCGACTTGATTTAGGCTAAGTTCACCTATGTCCTTTGTGCATGGATCAAAGTTATTGTTGTGAATTCCACGGAGGTTAACGCTGACTGAATGGGCCCTAGAGTCTTTCAACATGACAACCAAATCTTGTCTTGCTGCTTTTTCAAAGTGTTTTCTGGCGAATCCCTCATCTTTGAATAAAGAGTTCCACAGTTTGCAAGTTGATCGTAATCGTTTCAATGTTGTAGCCGGAAGTCTAGAAAGTATCTCCTCTACCAAATCTTTTGGAAGATCAGACATCATCATGATTTCTCTTTCGATTTGTTTTATCTACTTTGGAATATCCTCTTCGAAAGTAGATGTTGGTAAGTTCTCTGTTACAAATTGTGCTTTTAACCTTCACATGTTTTCAATCTTATATAGACCAGAAAAAAACTCAAAAGTTACATTTTTAGTTATGAATCTTGAAAAAGTATCACACATATTTTATGTTCTTAAAAACTAGATAAGATAGGATGATCACATCCATCTAGTATTATATTAGATTTTGATATATCTCAAAAAGTGAATTTAAAATTTCACTAGTTTAGAAGTTTATATTTTATACTTAAATGAATTTCCCACTTTTCCTAATTTGAAAGAAATAACATATAATACTCCTATAGCAATTTAATACTCCTTGTTTTTTTTTTTTTTTTTTTTTTGGCAAGGTTCATAACTTTAGGTCTTATAATCTGTAACACATAAACTTTCATCTAATGATATTTACTCACTTAGCCACACAAAAAAAAAAAAAAAAAAACCACTTCATTTAGCAATTAACTTGCATTTTTCTACTTTTGCCATGCAAACGTCAGAAGGTGTCATTTTTAGTTTCTTACATCTATTTAGTAATTAGTATTTACCATCAACGATATATTTCACTAGATAAAATAAGAATGCCGTGTTTCTTTCACGCTTACTTCTATTTTTTGGGATACATTCTTACTATCTCTGTCTATAGCATCGAATTCTTCTCAATAATCTGTGCTTTATATTCATTTATTTTGGTTTGTTTTAAATTCTTTCTACTGTTTTATTGGTCTTGCTCAGCAAGCTCAAATTCAACTCACAAACTTGCCAATGATTATTATTTTTTATTTTATTTTTCCTGTTATTGCCATTTTGTGCCATTCTTTGTCTTTAGTGACTCTGTCCAATTGTACCTAATCCCTGGCCTGAATCAAACTTGAACCAGCGTTAAACTAGATTTTGAACCATAGTTCAAAAACTTTCAATAAAAGAATAAAGAAAAAATTTTCATAATTAGAGGATGAAGGAATATAAAAAATATATATGAGCAAATCTTAAGAAAAATATAAGCAAATATAAAACCAAATATCAAAATAAACAAAAATATAGGTTTAAATCCAAATCATTACACAAAATAAAATAATTATTAATCATCAACTATACTAAAAAACGTACTAGTTGTTGGATCTTAAGAGGATTTGATGAATTGGTGGTCGAATTTGGCTGTGGATCGGTCGTAATCCTTGACGGAAGCAATTATTAAGACACCTCTTATAATTTTCCGCATTCATTGGTGCATGTGCATTAATGTTTATATGATGCATACAATGCGGAAAATCTTAAGGCATGTCTCAGCCAAAATATATGGGTTCATCAATTTTGAAAACCTTCAGATGGGACGAGGATAAAGATGCCATCAAAGGGTTTGCGTAGGTGTGTGACAAATGTGGAGGCGTTTTCGCTGAGTGTAAATATTAAGAACTATATATATATGTGTTGTACGAATGGAAAGTTTGTTGTAAGAATGAATTATATGGTTTTCCTGCATGGGTTGATATATTATTTATACTAGTTAGGGCGCGTTCTTTTCATCTTTTTTCTTGGGAGGGAGGAGGGAGGGTGGGGGGAGGGGGTGAATTCTTACTTTTTCCGCTTATAGCATCAATGATCTTCTCAATTTGTTGATTATTCTTTTGAATTTCTTGCTACTGTTTTATTTTTCCTTGATCACCAAGATAAGAGTCATCAACCCACAAACTTTATTTTTCTGTTATTTACGTGTAAGACCAACTCCAATGCTCACATCTATTTTTTCCTTTATTTTGTCTTCTATGCTTGGTAATTTTAATAGTTAGTTGTAACATATGATAAGCTGGCAGCTGGCTTAATATTTTGATGCATGCATTAGTGATATGAAAGCTGAATAATTGTTTTAGTAACATCTTTTTTGCTGTTCTGTCTATTGGCGGTTTATGGCTAACCAGTGAAATTTTCTTACATTAACTGTCAAAGCTTGAATTATTCAAAACCACATGGCTGGAGTACCATTTGGGCTCTCATAATTTCGGCCTATTTTGTAATGATCGTGTAAATTAATCAAAGCTTTTCGTAATGGGTTTGCCTTTTTTTGTTACTTTTTCGTAATGGTTATGCCAAAAGAGTAAACCATAAAGAAACATAAGAGAAACGAACCAAAATTTTAAAATATTCAAACGTTTCCTAATTTATAGAACCGAAAGAACCGGAACCGACTTCGAACAGAACCGAAATATATATATATATATATATATATATATATATATATATATATATATTTTTTTTTTTTTAAACCGAAATATTTTAGGTATCCGAAATATGATTATATAACCAAAAATATTAGTTATTTTATATCGAATAATATAAAATACTCGAAATACCAATAAATACTCAGATAATATCAAAAAAATATCCAAAAAATACTCGAAAATATCTGAAAATGCCTAAATATATCCGAAATATCTAAAATATCCGAATGAATCATAAATTTCAGAACCGAAAGAACCGAAACCAAACTAGAACCGAACCAAAATTGTTTCGGTTCATATAAAGATCATAAACTCGAGAACCGAAAAAATCGGAACCAAACCATAACCCAACTGAATACCCGAAGGCCGAGGTCTTTTACATGGTGTAATAACAATCTTGACTCCAAATGAAATAGTGACAGCTTCACAAATGCGAATATAGCCCAATTTCTTAATATTAATGTGTAAAGTGGGCCTGTTTTCTAAATTTTAGAAAGGACCCAAACAATTATTTTTAGTGTACATATGCCCAAATATATTAAAATTTTAGTGTATATATATATATGCATATTAAGGGCCCAAATTCTTTTGCCCTAGGGCTCTAAAAGTTGTTGGGCCAGGGACCTTACTGTACTACTTACCACTACAAGTCTACAACCGCAAAAAGCAGCCCAAATCTCCACTTCGATCGTTTTCCAATTTTTTATTCCATGACATGTTTCATTTTCTACTTCACAGTCACAAACTAGCTCGAGACTCATGTTAATGTTGCTGATACAGAGTCTTTCTTTTACTCTCTAGTTCCATATTTCTCTGTATGATGGTGCTAAAGGTTGGACTAGGCGATTTGCTTCATCTGATCACTATTTATGTCTATATAACTATATAAGTATACTTTTACCAACAAAAAAACTATATAAGTATATATTATATATGCTAATAACGAGATCAAACTTGATCCTTTTTTTACAACGAAGGAATAGCAAGGAGCTTGCGAGTAACGTTTGTCAAGAATCTCCAAAAAAGATAAAGCGAAAGATAAAAACAACAAAAAGAAGGAAGAAGAGAGAAAAAGAAAGAAAGAGAGAGATATATAACGATATTAGCAAAGAGAAAATAATAATTAATTAATCAATTTAGTGACCAACTGACCATATAAGTTTATGTGTATAAATAGATATCAGTTTGAGTAAGAGAAGATAAATGAGGTGAAGACACCAAGAACCCGATATTGCAATTGTTTGTGCGAGTTATGGCTCCGGTCGGATTACCTCCAGGCTTTAGATTTCATCCGACGGACGAAGAACTCGTAAACTATTATCTGAAAAGAAAGATCAACGGTCAAGAAATCGAGCTTGATATAATCCCCGAGGTTGATCTCTACAAATGCGAGCCATGGGACCTCGCAGGTACCTATGTTTTACATTTTTTATCACATTTTTCAGTAATAACTATATAATTCGTTGTTCTTGGCGAATAGTCTTATCGTCGCGCTATATTGATATGAACTGATTTTTAGTTGTTGTGATCGATAAATAAAATTGTAGAGAAGTCGTTTCTACCAAGTAGAGATCCGGAGTGGTATTTTTTTGGGCCACGTGACCGGAAGTATCCGAACGGGTTTAGGACGAACCGAGCAACGAGAGGTGGATACTGGAAATCGACTGGCAAAGATCGTAGAGTGACAAGTCAAAGCAGAGCGATTGGGATGAAAAAGACTTTGGTTTATTATAAAGGAAGAGCTCCTCAAGGGATCCGTACGGATTGGGTTATGCATGAGTATCGTCTCGATGATAAGGATTGTGACGATCCCTCTTCGCTCCAGGTAACTGATCGTTCTTTCATCACTCGATCTATTTACCAAATGATAGTAAGTAGTTACTACATATATGATCAAAATGTAACTTCTAAAAACAAAAAGATAACTTCGTAGATAGATGCATGGCTGTTAAACAAAAAAAAAAAAGTAACTAACATGATAATTCTCCATTTCTTTTAGTATATACATTAATAGAAAGATATGTCATATGTGTAAATTTTAATACAAATTAAGGCTTAATTAGAAGACTGTTAAAATGATATATATTCGTTTCTTGCTGTAAGCTGACAAAAGCTTAGGGTTTCGCTTTGTCTTTACTGCGACGAAGACAAAAGTCGTATCTAATTATTCATTATATATAAGACAAATACTCATATTCATTATACTTGAATATGTACAAAAAAATGTTTATTCAACTTTGAAAATATAAATTGTTTGCGGCAGGACTCGTATGCATTGTGTCGGGTATTCAAGAAGAACGGAATTTGTTCAGAGTTGGAATCAGAACGGCAATTACAAACGGGACAATGTAGCTTCACAACGGCGTCAATGGAGGAGATAAATTCGAATAATAACAACAACTACAATAATGAATACGAGACAATGTCGCCGGAAGTGGGAGTTTCTTCCACCTGCGTTGAAGAAGTAGTCGATGATAAAGACGATTCGTGGATGCAGTTTATAACAGACGACGCATGGGACACGTCATCAAATGGTGCAGCTATGGGACATGGTCAAGGTGTTTATTGACTTAATGAACAAAGAGTATTGAAGCAAAAAGACAAGAGTATAGAATTATTGGGATAATAACGTAAACATTTAGGTACACTTTTGTGTACTTATATATAATCGTTGAAATAAAACCTACGGGTTGTTGGGGTAAAACTTAACTGATTTTATTTTTTTCTAATTGTGGGAATGTGTGGGAAAATCACGTGATTTGATTGGGCATTGTATTTATTTTTGTTTTTTGTTGGATTGATGATTTTATTTTCCATTGATTTGACGGCTCTATGGATATATGGTACCTTTGTTCTTTTTCCTCACATGGGTGTAACCAGATCAAGTTAATGGATGTGAAAATTTGGGTTTATACTTTTATTTGTTCTCTTCTTTTTTCCATTATAGTCTATACAATAACGTGAAAACCAAGTTACACTCAACTTTTTATGTCAAATATTTGTTGTCAGTGAAATTTTGCAACTGACCATAATCAATAGGGAATTCCAACAGACATTCGATGTTTCTAAATTCTAACTATAATGTATGGTAATAGAAAATTTTAAAGTATGATCATATTTTACCAAAAAAAAAAAAAAACTATGATCATATTCGCCAAGAATAAAAAAAGTAGTGAATATTAACATCAAAACAAAACTTTAATCATATATTTTTGGATGGCTTCGCTATATTCTATCAAATAATAGGACTAAACAAGTAAAAGCAGAAAGTGAAGGGTTTGATGAAGTGTAAATCTAAGATTCTGATCTCACTCTCTTCCAAAAAGAAGATCCCTTGCCTTGCGATCAAGGAGATTGGTCTTTCTTTTTTCTCACGCATCTGTATTACTTACGTTCATCTCTCTTTCCTCTTCCACACTTTGTAAATTCCAATGACCAGAAAAGAACATATATAACTACGTATACATCTCATGTCCCTTTAACAAAACTATCTATATGCTCAGCTTCAGCTTTCAAAATCCGCCATAGTTCTTTTTACTGCCACTCAACATATATATGTTTCGCGTTTACAGCTGTAGAAACTTGTCCAAATATATCTCCTAATATGAAATTTGCAAAATGGGTTTTACTTTAGAACCCTAGAAGTGAAAAGTGACTTTTTTTTTTTTTTTTTTTGGTAAAAAAAAAAGGTGGTTTCACATCTTTGCCGGGAACCCAAGCATTGTAAATAGTCCCTCCCACCGTGAATCGAAACCAGGTGGCGGTAGTTACAGCTGCAACCCCTTTACCACTAGGCCAACTCAACGTTGGTAGTGAAAAGTGACTTGTTCTTGTAGATAATTTATGATAAATGTGTTGTAGGGAGTCTTGACTGATTCTTGAATCTCTGCAATGTTGTAGGTCTCTTGAATAAGAATGAACATTTTGTCTAAACCAGAAGCTCAAGAACGTTTGTCTCACTATAATGGTCTGCCTTTTGTTCTCTTTATGTTGTGTGTGCATGTGTCTAAACCCAAGTCACCTTAATCCAATTTTTCCAAAATAGCGTTTTTTTAAGTTGTAGGCTTTATCATATTTGGATTGGTTAAAAGATGCATATATAGATATTAAACTATATACTATCAACCCAACATTAAGAATTAACAAAAATTCAATAAGGCTCATGTACTATTATCGTTTATTTCTAAATCAATCCCCATGTAAACAGAGCATATGAGAAAGTTAAACAAAATCAACTTTCAAAGAAGGGAAAAGCTCCATATACTCTGCTCCAACAACAACGAGAGCAGAAATTGCTTCTGAATCAAAAGTGAGGACAAACTATAGAATTCAGATTTGTAATAAAACACGAAAAATCCAAAATCTAAACTTGATGTGATATGAATGATTAAGGAACTGAGATCAAATTTGGAAGATAGACAGTGAGAAAACCGAACAATCCATGAATCAATCTGAATCTTCTTGAACATACATACCTCCCCTTACCATATAGATGCAAGCAGCTCCAGTTTCGCCGTCGCCACAACACATGATTAGGGTCTTGTCAAAGATAAAATAACTAATGCCACAATACTTATTAACTAGCTTAGGCAAGTTGGTTGTTGGCAATGTCATCAATCTTTTTCAAATATGTATATTAAAATACGTCTTTAGAGTGTAATTTATCTTAAGTTGTATCATATTTGGATTGATAAAAGATGCATGTAGATTAAGCTATACTAGCAACCCAACCTTGAAAAGGTTTACAATATCAAGAAGGTTCATCATTTATTTCCAAGTCATATTCACCAGCTCCATAACATTTTCCTGACTTACCTTTTTTTGTACTGATTTGAATTCAGAAGGAACCGAGATCAAATTTGGAAGATAGACACAGTGAGAAAAATGATCAAAGCCAGAACCTATTTGAATCTTCTTGCACATGTCTCCCCTCGCAATAAAGATGCAAGCCACTCCAGTTTGATCGGCGCCACAACACATGATAAGGGTCTTGTCATAAATGAAGTATCTAATACCAGAAAACTGATTGAATAGCGAAGGAAAGTTAGGTATTGACAGAGTCATCAAGTTTAACCACACCACGTCATCCTTATTACTATTGTTAATCTTCTCCTTTGTTACCCAAACCTCTGTATTCCTTGATATACGAGATTGCTTTAACAATGCAAACCTATCTCCCTTAAATACAGTGAGGACAAGTTTATGTAGTGAGCCAGAAACATGCTTCCCACAAGGAGGGAGACAAAAGCGCATCGATATTTCCGTGGAGAAATCAAAGCTTCCGAGAAAATACTCACGAGTCTCTTCATTGTAAGAAGTCCAATACAAATTTCCGTTCAAGGACACATATTCACCTAAACCTGCCAGCATTGGCCAATCTAAGGAATCAATGAACTTAAACGAGTGAGAGGCACACTCATAAATCGCAAACCTGAGGTGACCTTTCTGGTAAGCGTCAGTGACTCTACGAAGACGATCAAAATACCCCAAGATCTTGTAACCCTTCTCGGGTTTAGTAGTATCGTATCCTACACCCAATAAATGGAAATCTCTGTCCTCGTACTCGTACTCTATCAATCCAACCTGTCTCAAACATGGATTCCAAATGGTATCCCCTTGCATCCAAAAGTGACGAAACAATAATCCATCGCAAGCCGTGATACGGGTATATGTCGACTTCTTAGCCTCAAAATGTAATTCAGAGGCTAGTTTATTCACCTCTATCGTCGGATCAACGCCACCCAGACCGATGGTGTCTATCGAATAAATATTGGATTCGGTCAGGATGATGAATTGGGGACGAGCACGAGCCAAGTGGTTGTTGACGAACCTTTTGTCGTTGAAAAGATCGTTCCAGTGTTTACATACGGATCTGAACCGAACAAGAGATCGAGGTGGAAGCCGAGACAGTATCTCTTCCTCCAACTCCCACGGAAGCTTCCCCGATGCCATCACTTTTATGTGTTACGAAAATGAAATAACACCCTTTTTTTTCTTGACCAATTTTAAAAGATTTATTAAAAAGTGGCATATCTTTATAATAAAAATGAAAGTCTATAAATGTTAATATTTAGAAAACAAGAATGGTATTTAGGAAAGAGATCTATCTTTCAATAATAACTGCATAATTTACATAAAGAAAAATATTTATTACTCAAGGATAAAAACAAAAGAGTGGCGAGTGTTCAATGAGGGCATATGCAAGGGTGCATCTTTGAAGTTTGATCTTAAGGGAGAAAAAATATTAAAATATTGTAAGAGCTTTAATTAAGATCTTTTGTAAAGTAAGTGATTATTGGTAGAACTTGTTTAGATCATAGGAATTAATAATTTAATAATCAAAAACTTTAAATGTTTTTTAAAAATTAAAAAAATTATTTTTAAAATTGAAAACATAAAAACTAAACTTATATTAAAATTGATTTGAAAATAAAAAGAAACACAAAATACAATTCCAAATAATTATTAAACAAAAATCGCAACCAATCCGCGGGTGCCACGTCGCCACAAGAACAGCCCAAAAACAGTTCTAGCCCAAGATCACTTTCCATGTTCCAAAGCCTGTTCTCAGAAATTTTAATATTTTTATAACATAAGAACAGTCCAATAGATGGCCCGATAATTATGGTCTGATAAAGTTCAAAAACCTTTAATCATTTTCTTTTGAATGGTTCTACGTAATATCTATTGAGCAAACAAGAGGTCAAGAGGGAAACTCATTTTCTTCTTCTACACTTGGTAAATTCTCAATAACCAGAACAGGGCATAAGTATATATACATCTCAATGATCTCATCCCTGCATAAGAAGAATCTCGTAGATATCTGTCCTAATGTTCAGTTCCTTGTCCCGCATCACTTCTTGTAAATCTGACAACTCCTTTGCCGTCAGGACTGAGCTCAGCTTCCCATACCCATCCAGCCATAGTTTTTTCGACCTGCCACGCCATTATGTTAAGAATTGCTTCTCGATAATATGAGAAATCTGGAGAAAGAACTTTAGATTAAGTATATGTTCCTACCATGGGCATGCATTTATAGCTCGGAAGTAAATCCTTCTAGCTGCTGATGGATTGTGCGCGATGTCGATCTCATATGCAATGTAGCAACGCCATAAAATAACCGAGTTGTTTTGTGTATCTTGTGCCAATGCCCTTTCAAACAGTCCGCGGATTCTGTGTAGGGAGCCTCCTTTACTCAACTCATAGACAAGTGAAAACAGCCAAACAACGACAGATGAATTCCTACATGATTAACATATTAAACTAGTTTAGCATCAATATATCAATATACATAACCCTTGTTCTAGGAGGAAGACCATAAACATGTAACTAGTCGTCTTTAATCATTGAAGCTAAGCATCCATATCTACATTGGGCCGTACTCGCGAGACGCAGGGTTTATTATTAACAAGTTTGAGAAAAAGCTTACTTGCGGGAGTAGTCATCAAATATCATTCTCAGTCTATGGGATGTCATACGGTGGTTACAGATGTCCACCAAAGCTCGATAAAGCACGGGATTGAGAGGATACAGTTGCAGTCCCTCTGATATGGGCTTCCAAAGTTGTGACAAAGTTAGATCGTCCTGGTGTCTCTGAAGCATTCTCACATAATAATTGAACAAGAGTTCAAGCTGATGACTTTGACTTTTTCTTCCTGGAACATTCACAATACCCCAAAATCTTAACGACGAGATTTAAATCAAGATAAACAGTGGATGCAAGATACATGCCTTTAAGAGAAATTTTATCTGTATATGGAAAACATTTCTGATGCAGTCATGCGTACTAGCACGGAAATCAGTAAGATAACTCAAGAATAGAGATCAGAGAAATAACCTGGAAGAACAGAACTGAACATGTGCTCTAGGATTTCAACAGCACCAGGAAGGTCATTTGTTAACTCCTCAAATAGAGCTGCCGAACAAACAAGCGCTGCTGATTGATCATCTGTGACACCATGAGACCATGTTGATTGTATCTTCTTAAGCTTCTCTCTGAACCCTTGGCGTGCTCTAAGGATTTGCATACTTGAAGACTGGGAAGTATAAGGAGTATAAGCTAGACCACTTCCCAGGTAGCACAGAATATGTATGGCCCGAGATGATGATTCTGTATCCCTACCACTGCCGCTACTATTGGCTACTTCCGATTCAGCATACCATAAACATAGCAAAGGAACGTTACACTGTAATTCCTGCAATCATAGGTGAAATAAACTTAGCATGGCTTTTTCAATGTCAAATAAAATCCAAAGAAATCACGGAAATTGGGCTGATGTATCTCCGTACAAGTGCACAAAGAATAAAGTAAAATAAGTAAACCTATTTCTCGCTATATCCACTAGGCCATGCTTCCCTGTACATTACCAAGAAGAGAGTGATCTATAACATACTCTACTATGATCCGTCCACGAGATATTATCTTGTGAAAGCTCAAGTGGCAGGGCCTCAGTTTTTGAGACCAGTAAGCGATAATTTGAATCAGCAATAAACACAAAACTAGGGTAACTGATCTAGAAGTTCCTTTGAATTAGAAACATAGGTGGAAACATGAAATTTTGTATCATATGCTAACAACATAACCAAAAGATCTGAAACTAACCTTAGACAGGCCACAGATAGAAGTCAGTGCCATGTCGAAAACTCGTCTTGCATGTTTCATATTTCCAGAAGCAGCTTCTCGCTGTGCATAAACTCCACAAAGTAGTAGATCCTGTTCATAGAGAAGGAATCAGTTCAAAATTCAGATAAACTGAATAAAAAAGTAGACCACATCAACAAATTGGAACGGGGATTACCTGCCGGTCACTTTTCAGGAGACGTTTGGCCAAAGCTTGGCATGGCGTAGTTGCTACCTCACATGTTTTCATATTTGTTACATATAACTCTTCTGCAACAAGCACAGCTTCTTCCAGAATGTAGTTTCGCGGAAAAACATTCAGACAAAGCAAGATGGCATTGCGGAGAAACTTCATCATCTCAGTCCGCATAGATATGTCATAGCTGCCACCTAAAAGAGATACCAAGCTAAAGCAGTTGGCACTATCTGATTTCGACAGACATTCATGAACACTTCTCAAGTTTTCTAGCATAGAATCTGACAATGTTTCAAGGCTACTTATTTTCTCACTCCACGACAAACTGTTGCTGGAAGTCCATGGGGAGATATGTGCACCGAAGAAATCAATGAACTGGTATACCAGAGATAAGCGGGCCTCGTTTGAACATAAAGAAAATAGATATCCATTTATATCTTCATATAGTACAACACTTGAGAGTTGCTCTTCATCTTCTCCCTCACCTATTCCATCAACACTGGAGACTCCACCTATTAAAGGATGATACACAGTTAACCACATGCATGTTTACAGTCTTCTAAATAAGATTACAAGTCAATCCCATCAAACATATCTATACAGACTGAACTTTATTTACTAATGACAAAAAAGGCTGAGCGACTAGTCCCACTTGGACAAAAAGCTCACCCAATAGACACATTAAGACCATTGTAAGCTCCAAGAGAGAAGATGAACAATCGATAAAGAGATAATGATGGTAAAGGTAGAGATAGATACCAGCTTTCCGAGTAGGCATCCATTGACTGTGATCTCGAGAAACCTCTTCTTCAAACCATTTTACCCAAGTTGATGTATCTTTAACCTCATCACTGGCCGCAGCATTGACATCAATGCCCAATAATTTCAGCATAGCTTCAGTGTCACCTTCCGGTTTGCTATTCTCGTCTTCCATTTCCTCATCCAGACCCTCACGATCAACATCGACCTCTCCAGTGTTAGCTGAAGCAATATCTCCATTTCTACCTGAGACCTGTTCTGTCCAACCTGTCCAACCACCTACCTCATTGTCATCAGAGGATTCTTCTTTCAAAATTTTCTGCCTATTTTCCTCCTCTTTCTCCAGCCACAATAACCATCCAAAAGCTCCTTCTTCTCCAACTCTAGCACCATTACTGCTCCAAAAGTGCTCAAACAGTCTTAATTTACTCTGTTCAGTTAGCAACAAAGATGGAGAAAAGATGCTAAATTCCACTTCAGCTTGAAGTAACGCTGTGGCGAGCTCCTGGTAACCAGCCTGCCACTCAAACCTGCAGAGGCTAACAAGCATATCAACTAGAACGAGTTCCTGCTGGATGGCAGCAGTATCCAACAGTTCAGATGTTGTATCCACCTGCATAATCCAATAAATAGAATTAAACCTTACAATGTCTAACTGCTAATAATAAGAATATCAATAATGTCAACGATTAAAGATAGTGGGGAAACACCAGAAAAAACTAAGTATGGTAAATAAAACAGGTGGACTCCAAATGACTTGTGACAGTAAACAGATACGTATTGAAGTGATTTATCAACCCTTATCAGTTAGCACCATAAAATAAGAACCTGCCTATGTCGCTTGCTGCAAGCAGAAGAAAGAGCCTGGATCGCATAAGAATACAGCTTCCTCACTTCTGATACTTTGAATCTGGAGAACTCCCCTTGAACAACACATAGAAACTCTCTCCATAACTTGTAGCTTGCGGAATTTTGCATAAGTGCCTTTTCCCACCTACTGATTAGTACATCCGCGTTGTCTCTGCGTCGGTATGCCTTGAGCAGAGCAAGCAACAGTTCTTCGCTATCTGGGTTCAGTTCAAAAGCCTTCTCAAGTATACTAATCTTTTTCTCTAAAGTCTGCAGGCGAACTCCTTTCTGAGATTGCATACTTGAAACCTTGTCTTGAAAATCAGCAAATGCCAGCCATGACTTTTCATCATGTGGACGCTCCCTCGTCACTTTGTTGAACTCTCGCGTTTTATTCAGCATTTCATCCTCCCATGATGTTCCCATCTTTGAGTCCCTTGATAAAACATCTTCTTCTTCACTTTCTTGAACAGTCTCATCTTCCTCCAGTGGAATGAAATTATCAAAGGACGAAACCACAGCTTCAGTTGAAGCACATAAACGAATACGCTTGAAATTCTTGTTGCGTTCCATGGCTGCATGTTTTGCATACCAATATCGGGTATCAGACTTTGCTCTCCCCTCCAAAGAATCAATATCAATCTCTGTGTCAAGCATAGAACTACGCCGATTCCGCAAATAAAACCTCAGAGAACCTGAACCAGGAACTCTCTGAGAATTGTCAAGTTTATAACGAGGAACATTCATCCTGCATTATGCAAACAGAAGCAGATTTTCAATATCCCAACACTCTTAAAACTAACCATAACTACACAGGTAAACAAATTATGAGCAAAGTACCTGTAAATAGAGCCATAAGCCAGATTATCTGGATCAGGACGAGTGTCCAAGTAATAATCCTTCACAGGTTTCGAATAGTATTCATCAGAATCCTTAACTGAGGATTTCCTTGAACGAGATTCATCCGAAGCATTATCACTCTTCCGCTTCTTCTTTTTCTCCCGCTTCCTCTTTACCTTGTCGCCATCAGACTCCAAAGACTCTTCTTCTTCAACCAAATTGTAAACCCTAGGCTGATTAGCTAAATCGATATTCCCATCAGCTTCTCCTTCATCATCCTCGTCGTCTCCAGCCTCGACCTCGGATAAGGAAGGAGCCGTCGAAGCGGCAGCGTTGATGACGGAGAGATCCGTCGTGAAGCTGGCGTTGCGAAGCCATTGAGGAGCACCAGAAAAAGCTGAGACGGAGTTCGCCGAAGTAGGGAAGACGGGGAACAAGCCGCCTGTAGTTACCGATGCTCCGTCGCCGTCCTCTGATGTATTCGACATTACATCCACCCGGAAAAAAAAACCGATTCAGTAATTTTTTGCGCCGCTATATAATTTCTGCGAAGGGTCGTGAAAAGGCCTAATTATTGGGCCTAGTGTAAAAAATTAATGGGCTCTATTAACAGTGAAATATTTTACTCTTTATTCAAAAACATTCGAATTTGAATTCGAAACTACATAACCGGTAAATTGATTAATTATTGCGCCATATTTAATTTTACTCGTTATCTAAAAGTACGGCAAAAAGTAATAATAACACGTGCAATATTGTTTTCTTTCACTCAACCCATTCATTATTTGCATTATTTATATTGAAAAAATATTGAATAAACTAACTTTTGTAATAAAAAATGAAATTTAGGACAGTGTAACAAAACTAAATTGGCAAATGTGTCATTTTGCCTTTTTTTCCCACCAAAACTAATGATTTTTCATGGATCCAAAGCTAAATATTAAATAAAAATAAATGAAAAGAAAAAAGAAAAAAGAAAAATGGCATAATTATTTGCGCATTGGTGGCGTTGATAATGGGATGTCCAAGGAGGAGGGAAGCGCCGGGATTTCAGAATTAAGGAAAATTATTAAGACGAAGAAGAAGAAGCTCCATCAGATTTTGCAGAGCAAAGCAAAGAACTTCAACAAGGAATAATGCAAGAAATTGATAGAAGCTGCTCGAATTAGATCTGTAAGTGAAAATGATTGCTCGACTTCAAATCCTGGGTTTTGGGATTGAAATTTTCTCGGAAAATATTGTTTTTTTTTTATGGGGTAATATTCTTGAGAGAAGGAGAATATTCTTTGTTAGGGTTTTCATTCTCACGAATTTTCTTATTAGTCACTGAGTTGCTTAATTTGTTTCGTTCTGGGTTTTTGTTTGGAGGGAGGGATTGAATGAGATTCGAAGAAATATATAGTGAAGAGTTTCTGTTTGTGTAAATGTTTCAGGTTTTGTGAAACTTTGTTTCTAGGGATTTGGGGAAATGGAGGACTCGAGCTCTATCGACTCGATTTTGGAGTTTTTGCGGAAGAATCGTTTTATGAGAGCTGAAGCTGCGTTGATTAGTGAGCTTTCTAATAACCCAAGTTCAAATGGGTGTCTTCAAAAGCTTAACTTTGAGGATAATGGTGTGAGCAAGTTGTTGGATAAGACGAAGCAAAGGGGCAGTAGCCAAGCATTAGGCTTTCAAAAGGACAGTCACATTTCTGATGAATTGGTTGTGAAAGAGATTCAATGTGGAGCTGCCAATAACTTACGCGAGAGTAATCTTATGAACGATGTTTCTGTTCAGACACAAAGTGGTAATGCAGATTTTTGGGAGGAGAGATTCATGTTTTCTGAAGGATTTGAGGATACCGGGCTTGATTTACCTCCCTGGAACCATAATTCTACCGATATTGTAGCTGACTCTGAAGTATTTAGTATCAATCCAAGTAAAAGAGGCTTTGTGAATCCACGGAGTTCAAAGCAATCGAGTCATGAAAAGGTTCCCGAAACTGGTAAAAACAATAAAGTGGTTGTGGAAGACATCTTCTCTTCTTGTGAGAAGATACGGACTGGAAGCTCTAGCCAGGTATCTCAGTATGACCATGGCAAAGCATGTCAATCTCTGGAAGTTGATAACAAGGTTGGGAACTCTGCAATACAAGAAGGATTCGTCACCACGTCTTGGTCAAGAAGCGAAGAGAACATTGGTGCTTCACCAGACCATTGGAAGGATTGTTCTGTTACAACTGTTTTTTCCATTGTCCAAGGGAAGCACGTCAACAGAAGATAATGGTGTAGCCATTTTAGACAAAAGGCAAGGAAAGAAAAAGGTTGGCGCGAGTGATTCCAGGATTCTTATTAAGGAGCAGGAAGATGATGTGGCTACAGCGCTATACCGTGGAAAGTCACAGTCTGGTTATGAACATAATAATCTAAGCAGCTTAGCATTTTCACTGGCTCATGATGGTCCGAGGGAAGACTTACCTAGACTGCCACATGTAAAAATCAAGTCAGAGGATAAACCGATGAACTTTACTTGGGAAGAAAAACATGAGCGAGACATATTGGACGAGAAGCTGATTAATACTGAGAATGTGTTCCTTATCGGCTCTTTTCTAGATGTTCCTATTGGACAAGAAATCAATTCATCAGGTTAGTTGACATGATGATGATGGCTACCATCCAAATCTTAAAACTTTATGTTCTGTATGAGTAAATTATATTACCGTTGGCTAGCTTTTGTGTCCACCTTTTCTTTTCTATAACTTACCTTTTTGTCATATCTTCAGAGGTTGTATTCCAGTTTAATTTTCCTTTTCTGATGGTGTCATAGGTGGCAAAATGGCTGGTGGAGGAAACTGGTTGTCTGTAAGTCACGGAATAGCAGACGATGCATCTGACTTGATTTTTGGCTTTGGCGATGGATTAGGTGCTCTCAATGAACATTCAAATGAGTATTGGGACTCTGATGAATATGACGACGATGATGATGTTGGTTACATTAGGCAACCAATTGAGGATGAGGCATGGTTTTTGGGTCACGAAGTTGACTATCCTAGCGATAATGAAAAAGGCACAGAGCGCGGAAGTGTTCCTGATACGCAGGATAAAAGTCAAACCAAGAATGATGATGATCATTCATTTGCCGAGGAGGATTCTTATTTCTCCGGTGAGCAATATGTGCTCGCTAAAGGCATTGAGCCAGTTACTGCTTCCAATGATCCGATGGGTCTCTCAATGACTGAAACATACAGCAGGACCAAGGAATCTGATTTGCTTGCTCGATATGACGGGCAATTGATGGATGCAGAGGAGCTAAGTTTGATGCACACTGAACCTGTGTGGAAGGGATTTGTCAGCCATGAAAATGATCTAATTTTGTTGAACAAAGGGAAAGTCGAGGATAACTGTGGTAAACTCTGTCCGAAGGATATCCGCGCAGAAGATGATCAAAATGCTGCAGTTAGGTCAATTGGTGTAGGAATGAGCGATGATGTTGATGACAATGGGAGTATAATACCTGAATACTTTCCTGGAGAAGGTAGTGAATGGGATCTGGAGCTCCTTCCTTATCGCGGAGTTGGCGTTGCTGGTGTCAAGCCTCCACCTGGTAAAGGTGCAAGTATGCAGCTTAAAAACTTTGCAAGTGGTGGTTTCTCCTTTCCCTCTCCAGTACCTGATAGACAGATGTCCCATGAAGATTCTGCAAACCCTGAATGGTCAAACCATTGCAATGCTGTTGTGAGAAATGAAACTGATGAACCAAAGAGCCTAATCGAGTCCGATAGTATGGTTGTTTCTTCGACAAAACGACGCAGCGGCTCTTCCTCTGAAAGAAATATAACAGACATGGATGATGAAAAGGTTGCAAGTTCAAGAAACTCTTCCCCATCCGCACTCTCCCATAGTTCTGATACTGGGAGAGAGCACAAGGAAGAAGATGAGGAAGAAACTAGTCATGGGCCGGAAGAAGATCCTGGGACCTCGTTCGAGGATGAGGATGCAATCGTGGTCCAAGAGCAAGTAAGACAGATTCAAGCCCAAGAGCAGGATTTTGAGACCTTCAACCTGAAGATTGTTCACAGGAAAAACAGGTCTGTTCCCTTACAATTATCGTGGGTATTTTTTGTTTATTATGTATTAAATGATGTTTGGTACACATTTTGTTTAGAAGCGGGATGAAGTCTATCCCAATTCTTGTGAACCTCGGGAAATTTATTTGTTTCGTCTATTATTCTTTTGTTGCCCAGGACTGGTTTTGAGGAGGATAAGAACTTCCATGTGGTTTTGAATTCTGTCATTGCTGGTCGTTACCATGTCACTGAGCATCTTGGATCAGCAGCTTTTAGCAAAGCAATACAAGCACATGACCTCCACACCGGCATTGATGTCTGTGTAAAGATCATAAAGAACAACAAAGACTTTTTTGACCAAAGCCTTGATGAAATCAAACTTCTCAAGTATGTCAACCAGCATGATCCTGCTGACAAATACCATCTCCTTCGACTGTATGACTACTTCTACTTCCGGGTAAGTAGATGCAGAATTGTGTCTTATTCTTTTCAACATCGGGTAGATATTCTGCTACTTTGATGCTATGATGTATCAATTGTTCGTTGATGAGATTCAGGGAAGAACTTGTGACGTGAGCCTGCATCATGATGCCATTGACTGTGATTAATTGGAATCTCAGTTTTGCAGGAGCACCTGTTAATAGTATGTGAACTTCTCAAGGCAAACTTGTATGAGTTCCAAAAGTTTAATAGGGAATCAGGTGGAGAGGTTTATTTCACTATGCCAAGATTGCAGGTTAGCCAACCTTTACTAGTCACAAGTTTTATGTATGTTTTTCGCTGCTCTCTTATTTTCTTCTAAATCAAAATTTTGTGCAGTCAATTACTATCCAGTGCTTGGAAGCATTGAACTTTCTTCATGGTCTGGGCCTTATACACTGCGACTTAAAACCTGAAAACATACTAATCAAAAGCTACAGCAGATGCGAAATCAAAGTTATTGATCTGGGAAGTAGCTGTTTTGAGACAGATCATCTTTGCTCCTATGTTCAGTCTAGATCCTACCGTGCTCCAGAAGTCATTCTTGGGCTTCCATATGATAAGAAGATAGATATCTGGTCACTTGGCTGCATTTTGGCTGAACTGTGTACCGGCAATGTAAGTTCCAGCATCAATGATACCAGTTAAAAGCTTTATTATAATATAATCCACTAAGCTAGCTAGGACTCTATAATGTAAATTGGGTCTGCTTTTGTAGGTTCTTTTCCAAAATGATTCTCCGGCAACTTTGCTTGCAAGGGTCATCGGTATAATCGGATCCATTGACCAAGAAATGCTTGCCAAAGGACGTGATACATGCAAGTACTTCACCAAAAATCATTTACTATATGAGAGGAACCAGGTGCGTATTGAAAAACCAAAAAGAAAAAAAAAACCTTACTATATAGTGCACTCCCACCTATTACTAAAGCAATTTGTAATGGTTGTAGAATTTGATTTCAAACTGGTCTAATGGGTTTGTGTTTCTAATATCTCAGGAGAGCAACAATTTGGAGTACCTAATACCGAAAAAGTCATCGCTAAGGCGTAGACTGCCAATGGGTGACCAAGGCTTCATAGACTTTGTGGCATACTTGCTCCAAGTTGATCCAAAGAAACGCCCTTCTGCATCTGAAGCTCTTAAGCATCCTTGGTTGACTTATCCCTACGAACCCATATCTCCGTGATTCTGTCGGTGCAACAAAGGCAGAATGGATGGTAGCTAGTCAAGGAAGAAGATGATGGTTTGTTTTTCCCACATTGTTTTTGTTGAAAAGTCTGCTGAGAGGGAAATCTTTCAGACCTTGTTGTATATTAATTTGATGTGTGACTATTGCTCATTTGGTCTCAGCATTTTGTTTCACTGGTAGCTTGTGAAATATAGTCCCTTCTTCGATTTTGATTTTTGCCAAATGCTTTGGTTATTTGATTATATTGATTGTTGCCGGTGATATTTGTATTTGCCTTTGCAGATAATTTTCCGTTTACCACACTATGGAGGAATTCGACTTTTTATTATATGGTTTAGGTGAACAATATAAACCAGAGTGAACAATCCTACAACTACCAGTACTACTGAAAAGCCACTCTTTCTGATATATATATTTTGTTATACCATCAATATAAATATAATGTCAAGAAAAAATAAAACCTTATTACCGCCAAATGGTCTAAATTAAAACCTTATTACGAAATAAGTCCAAAGAATAAGACTTGCCCTTAACAGACAATATTTCTCTTGTGTTCCACAAGGCGTTTCCAATACTTAGTGATATCCTCCAACGACATCTTCGCAGTCTTCACTTTAACTTCATCATCACCACTAACCGCTGCAGCCGCAGCAAGATGCGCGATCCGGCTAGGAAGCCCTTCGATCTCTTTCATTACCTGAATGATATGTGTGATGAGTCTATCTGCAAGGCCTCGGCTAAAGTCTTCTCTGATCACAACTCTGAGCACAGCAATGTGCTGTGCATCTGCAGGCATAGTGTAAGCCGGTATGATCCACCCGAATTTTCTCAGAGACTCAGCGATCTCAAACACCGTGTGTTTGCTACTGTCTTTGAGTGAGAATGCTACTAGTGGCACGCCGATATCTTTAGACAGAATGTGGAACTTCCCTGTCATCTCTATTCCTTCTCTTAGCCTCCTTGCGTTATCCATGCAGTTTTCCATTATGTTCTTGTATCCCTATTCCAGTTTCCAAAAAGGATCATTAGATTAAGCAAGATGTCATCTAGACAAGAATAAGGGAACAAGTACCTCAAAGCCTAGTCGGATAAACTGATAGTACTGAGCAATGATTTGGCTCGACCCTGCAAAAAAAAATTGAGTTCTTAAAGAAAATGAGATGATGGATTTGATTGGATAAGCCAGTTATTTTTTTACAAACCTTTTGAGAAGTTGAGAGTGAAAGTGGGTTGATCAGCTCCTAAGTAGTTGATGTGAAAGACAAGTTCCTCAGGCAAATCATCTTTTGTTCTCCAGACAATCCAACCAACTCCTGCATACACAAGTCCATACTTATGACCACTGACATTGATACTCTTCACCCATGGAAGCCTAAAGTCCCATTCAAGATCAGGGTAGAGGAAAGGGGCAATGAATCCTCCACTGGCTGCATCAACATGAATAGGAGTTTCCCAACCCGTCTCTGCGTTTTTCTCAGCTAAGAGATCGTTCAATAGCTTCACGTCCTCAAACTCTCCAGTAAGTGTAGATCCTAGAATTGCTGCAACACAGATGGTATTCTCATCCACCATCTCTACAGCTTTAGTTGGGTCCATCACGTAATAGTCTTCACTTAGTTTCACCTCTTTGAGCTCTACCTCAAAGTACCTTGCAAATTTCTCCCAGCACACCTGACCGGATGAAATAAAGTTTGAAATGTATGATATTTGAAAGAATCAGATTACTATCCATAGCGTTTGATGGTTTTGAGGATAATCATAAGAATATATTTAGACCTGAACATTGGCTCCAGTAACAATGTTAGGCTTATCAGTAGATAGACCCTGAGCTCTTCTCCTATGTTGCCATTTTCTTTTGAAAGCTAAACCAGCAAGCATTATAGCCTCTGATGAACCGACAGTTCCACACCCAATAGCAGCCTCGCCTTCTCCAACGGGAGCATGGAACAAGTTAGCAATCATATTTACACACCGGTTCTGAAAAGGAGAGAATAAGCCAAATAAAAGATGTAAGACAATTTAAGAAACAGTCTTGAGAATGGAAAACAGATGGGGAGAGAAAAGAACCTGGAGCTCGGTCGTGACAGGATATTCATCCATGTCAACATAGTTCTTATTGACAGAATCCATGATGAGTTTGTCACACTCAGGTTCCATCCAAGTGGTGACAAAGGAGGCTAGGTTAAGCCTGGGATTGCCATCAAGCATCAACTCATCATTGATCACTTGATAAGCAGCATCTTTGGGCATGCAATGGTCAGGCATCTTGAACCTGTTTTAATATATGCAAACAAATACATAACTATATATAAACATAGAAGAAGAAAAAACTAAAATGAGGAAAGAATCCAGAAAAATGCAGAGAGAGGAACCTGGGAACAACAGCACGGACATATCTGGAAGCAAAAGTGGAATGCAAATGCTCGTCGGAGTCAGAGTTGGTTGCAAGTACCATTGTGTTTGAGTTTTGCTGAATTGTTGAAAATAAAAGAGGAAAATATATGTCAGAAGCATTTCACAAATATAAAGAAAGTAAGAAGGCAAAACTTTCTTAACACTAATTTAAGACATTCATGTAACTAACTCCCTCTTTTTGTCCCCCCTTGACCCTCTCTTCCCCTTGAATTAGGCTTTGGTACATCATTTGTACTTATTCAACAACAACTTATTATTTTCCTCACAACCATTAAACAGAGAACAACATCAGGAATTCAGAATCATCTATATGCATAAATCTAAGGTCAATCTGTCTCTTCTTCCCAAGATTACAGACCAGATTATACCAATACCAATCTGAGTTATAAAATATCAATCTCACTATAGATTTGTCCATCTCAAATAGAGTTGATCTTGTGAATACCTTTGGATCAGAAAGTTTACTGTATTGATGATTTACGAGAAACGATTACAACAGATTTATATACTTAATGAGATAGAGAGAGATAAGGGATCTACAAAGATTCATGTTTATCTTCTATATATCCAATCCATTGAGAGATTTAAGAATATATAAAGATGCTAATATTAATTATTACGTTCCAAAATTTCACTTAAAAATATTTCCAAAGAAAAATAGAGGTTGCGATGCTTGTATCAGATGAAGAAGAGAGGAATCATTTTTCTCAGGGTCGTTTAGGAAAAGAATCCAATACCAATATAAGTCTCGTTCTCTCTCGGAAGTTCTAAACTCTCACAGTATTACGCACCACCACCAATAATACTTGACTCAACAATACACTTGAAAGATGATAAAATGGCTTACCAAGAAGACTCCATCAGTACTGCAACCAACTCGGTTTAGTGATGCAGTATACTCGCTAGCAAGTGAAGCCTAATGCACAATAATGAGATCAGACCACGACACGGGTCAGGAAAAGAAAAAGATGCCTCTTGATATAGTACTACAGGCCATAGTGAAAGCTTTTATGAGTTATCTCAGATAACTAGCTATCTATCAACCTTTGACTTGTTCCTTACTAGAAAGAGAAGAGAAACCTCTGTAGTTTTGTCTAATGAAAAAAAGGATCACCCGTTCGACTTATCTTTACCTGCTACTGTTATACAATAGACAAAGAAAACGATGAACTATCAATACCTAAAGACTCTTGTCAGATTGTACTATCAATAATACCAGTGCAAGCGGCAAGATCCCAAGATGAACTATTTCCTCGAACTAGGAAGCAATTGTAAATCCAATCTAAAAAAGAAAGATACAAGATTGTACAGAGAAGATAGAAATGCATGATGTCTGATACCAGTAATGCAAGTAACTCTGGTATGACCAGAATGAATTTGAAGAAACGATGCATGCTTTCGTAGAGAAAACCAACCAAGAAGCATATAGTTTGCTAGGAAGCCTCCAACTTAAGGGGACTGAAAGTATCAAAAAATTAGTGGCAGGGGAAGGAGCGAGTGCACCATTTGGATGCCCCTCAAGTTGTGCAGTGAAACCAAGTCAAATGGCAAACAAAAAGAAGTATAGGAAACAAAATCAAATTTTATTGAGAAACTAATGATCTTGTTCAAAGAAGATGACAAAAGAGAAAGAAAAAAACAAGCAAGAAATAGATGGTCGACTAATTAAGTTTCACTAGACTTGGAACATAAGAGCACACGAGTGGGTAACACCTTGCGTCTGATTCTCCAAGATCCACTTCTTTAAAGGATCCATCCACTCCAATGATGTAAGCCATGCTGCGCTTATCTTTGTAGTCTTTATCAAAAACCACAGCGACTTTCTTCTCCTCGTCAATGAAGAAACTCCCCAAATAAAACTGAAACTGAGGGCCAATGAGTTGTTTTAAACTCACTGATAAGAACACCTTGCTGTTCCAGGAGACCGCGTTGGGCTCAATCTTAGACGTAACCCAGATCTCCATCTTTAATGTATCCCACGGCTGATATAAAACAGCAAGCTGCTCTTCTCTAACACTAGATGCACTCATAGCATCTTCAGAAACAGCAAACTCAAACGGAAGAGGCAAAGGCGGCCCAAATGTCTCTCTTGTGAAATCAAAACAGACTAAGAAAAAATCGTCTGTTTCTCTGGTTTCGGAATACTTCTCTTCAGCAAACCAGTACGCATTTCCCTTGAGAGACACGCCATGGTGAATAGTCCTTAAGTGCCAGTCTGGAGTGACATCAAGAACCCTCCATGAATCAGAGTTAAAATCGTAGATTTTGAACTCATCAAAATGGGGATTCAAACAAGTAATACCCCTCAAGATTTTGTGGGATTTGCTGCTCTTGTCGTATCCGAGAGCATACGAATAGCTATCGAGTTTGTTGAATTGATGTGTGGGCTCGATTGGACGGGTATGCCCCCAATAGGGATTCCAAACCACGAGCCTAGTCTTGTCTTTGGTGATGCTGATGCATAACAATAAACCGTCGCAGTGAAAGACTTGAGATATATCAACTTCATCATCGCCTAAGCCAATAAGTTTAGCTTCGCGTTTTATACATGATGATTCAACCTTGTTTTGAAGATTGACTCTCATCAAATAAACCCTAAAATTCATCATCATGACCACCATAAACTCCTTTGCTTCTGCTACTTTTGCCTGAGCAAGGTGCTTCTTTGCAAAGCTTCCACATTTGGATAAAGTGTTCCACTTTTTGCAAGTTGATCGGACAGGCCTCAGAGATGTCAACGGAATTCTACAGAGCACCTCCTCCGACAAATCTCTTGGAAGATTGGACATCTT